ATACAGTGATGGGCTACCTATGCTTATATATTCTAAAGTTCTAAAGATACATTTACAGCTCATTACTAGCCACTTAATTAATTAACTATTCTTTTGTTATCAAAAGCCTTAAACCAGCATCCTGAAGCTGAAGTGTATTTTAAATGGTGAAAGAAGTAAATGAAACCGAACTGTTGAACTGTCGCAAGTAAACTTCAGACAAACTCGCTAGTAACCCGCTTGGTGCAGTGGACCAGTCATGGTCACAGTCTCAGAACAAACAGTGCGATGATTAGGAGTTCTGTTCAGTGAGCGTCGTCGAACGAACCCAAACCACTGCGCCATTTTGGGCAAAAAGATTCTGTTTTGCTTCAAAGCTGTTCTTTTGTTTGAATTATACTGCCTGCTTAAGGGTTAACCATAGTAGTCCTTCTTTACAGTGAACACTCGTAGACAGTGTGCAAATATGCAAGCATAAACTACACAGCATGAGGATGATGGTAACTTTCATGGGTTGTTGTTAAGCTCACTAAAGATATGGCAGTTCTACAAGATGGTACTCTAAAAAAACTAATCTAAATCTAAAATTGTGACCCCACTTTAGTGATGATGGTGAGAACGGCACTAAACATAGGCTGACCATTGGAAATGTTATGTACTCATGTCGTCTTAATGGGAAACCTGGGCTTATTTGGTTTCGATTGCAAGACTAAGACTCACTTAGTTCTGATTCAAAATACAGTTTATTCTAGGGATAGACCAATCCCATTTTTTTCTGCCAGTACTGATTTCGATATCTTGGTATCATCCGATACCAAGCAGCGATCCAATAATAGTAGCAAAGTACATAAACATAAATATACAATAGAGGCTAGTACCATAGTGAAGACAATCATACACCACCGTTTTTTCTCAAGATTAATTTTTTTTTAATTATGTTGTATCAGGACTGGCCCAACATCATGACCAATAAAAAAGGGAGCATACGATGATTCATCATTACAAAATCATCTTTAATAAAGTTAATAGGAATAGGAAGTCCACAGAAGCAGCCACCATGAGGTCACTGTAGTCAAAACAGGCCTCAAAACTAACAAAAATACAGTTATTTTTATTAGTTTAGCCTAACCCTAACATTGGAAAACTAACACAAAAGAACAGGACAAAAGCAGCCTGCCCTTCAGGTACACTTAATGCCTTTGATGAGGCTCCCGGGCACCCACGCACCTTCCTGGCTGACGGCATAAGTGAAACCTCCGATATCCAAAAACCCTCCAAAACCCCGAAAACAAATTCAGCAAAAACTGTTCCATCATTTCCAATCTTGCCAGGCCGTGAATCCCACCAATTCAACTCAACCAGAAGTTTACACTAGCTACCTTCGCATCCAAGAAGCAATTTCATGGTAGAGAGAGAAAGACAGAAAACGTTGAATTTTGGGTGACATTATTCAATATTTTTCATATACATATCCCTCCATGCGGAAGCTGATACATACAAAATCTAGAAACTGGGACAAAATCCATAATACTTCGTTGTATAGGGTTACAAATGCGGCGAATAGAATAAAATGGATCTAGTGTATTACATCAGTGCACTACTAGTTTATTTCTAAGATTGTGCTTGTATTATAGCAGAAAAGGAAGTTGCACATTACAGATGTGCAGCTGGAATTAAGGCCCAGTCCCATTTCTTATTTTTACCCCTACCCCTTGTTTTCGAGTGTCATCTTGCCCTTTGGAACTGAGTTACAGGGGTAGTGGTTGAAATCTTCCCTCTGAAATGGGACCCTCAAATAAAAAGAGCATCACTTCATTAACAGCTACTAGCGCTGCTCTGTAGGCGACCCTGCCAGTCTGCAGTGACAGCAGAGGAGGGTAAAGTTCAGCTCCTCACTGCTGGGCTTTAGTTACATTTAGGGCATCATATGCCTTCAAAGAGGGGGGCAATTATTTATTATTACCACCCCTAATTCTTCAGTGATATGAAGCTAAAATCAGCTATTTGCCAGCTTCTCGTTTGAATTTCCCCTGTTCCACCTTAAAGAGAACAGCAGTTATATTCTGTCGCTTCAGGCTACTGCTGGACTATTTAACGTGGAACGGGAAATTTAGCTAGCTAGCTACTGAGACATTAGCATATTATTAGCGTTTCTTTAATGAAAAGGACCATAATACATTGAAATGACATTAAACTAAGACAGTACAATAGTTATTGTAACTTTTAATGGAAAAAATACATTTGTGGGTTTTCTTTTTTTTCATAACACTGTTTGGAATGAGTCTTTGAAAAACCTCCGTTTGGGGGGCCATGTAGCCCTAAGACTTCGCTCTATCCCTCAACAAGAATCAGGACACCCTGCCCCTAGGCATGAACGCGCAAAATGGAGGGCTAAGGGCTAAGTGGTAGGGACAAGGGGTGAAATGGGATTGAGCCTAAAGGTGTGACGATATGGCAAAAATATGTCACGATACTTTAACACATTTTCCTGATACACAGTATGCATCACAATATTTATTTTTTTGGAACAGACAAAGCAAAACATGCAGTGCCACAAATAACAATTACTATTAAAATTGCTCACTTTGTAATGAAACATGCAGTTGCTCAGTGTTCTTTCAGTTTAGATCATCTTGCCCACCCCTACTTGCTATTTGGAATACTGAAGGCATGACTCCAGGACTGGTGGACAGGGGAGACTGATGTCAAGGGGTTAATTATGAGGCCTGTGATAACATTCATCGAGTGTGCTGTTAGTTAGTTCTTCTGAAAGGAAACCCAACCCTGTCTCCACACACTAGAGCTGGAATGAGAGTAGGGCTTGCAAAAGTCGTAAAAACAACCAGAAGCAGCTCAGTAATTGTAGAAGAAAAAAAAAATGCTTCAGATGCGTAAAAATTGTTTTTCTTTTAACACCTCTACAGTCCTCGCGTGAGCCACAGCGTAGAGGACGACCAAGAGCTGCGAGCAAGTAATCAGATTTTCAGAGTTGTGAAAAACGCTGGGCTGTGCTTTTGTCTTGCCGAAAACCACAGTGGTGTGCACAGCTAATACGTGCACAAGGGGCAGTTCACTGTTTTCACTTTGACTCAAATTAGCCCGAGGCACTGACTGTTTGTCCTTGCAACCTCATTCAGTGCATGCCATGACCCACATTTAGGTCATGACCCATAGGTTTGACAAACACTGCTGTAGGTCATCAGCTAGTGGCCTGACTGTTACATAGAGTATATACGCTGTTGAGTCCAGAGTCACAGCTATAGGCTTGCTGTAGATTCTTACACATGTACAGCTGTTGTATGGGAAAAAAAATTCTCATCTACTGAGTCACACACTGGGGAATGTTCATGAACCTGAAAATTAGGGGTGTGATCCTTTGAATACTGTGCAAGCTTAGTTCATGTGATCATCACATTCAGAAGGAAATTCGATTGACATTTTTTCAGCCCTACAAAACGGCTACAGCCAACGATTTTGGTAAAAAATGTGTTTCTGAGCACAATCTTCATTCAGTGTAGTGAGAAAACTGGACACTTGTGGTTTTGAAACGTAGTTACCAATTTAAACACATTAATTATCACTTTGTACTACATACATTGACCAGTTGGCAATACATTTATTTGTTTGTAACACGGTAAATTTTGAATTTTTAACATATGTATTATCTTGTAACACAAGTTTAGCAGTTTGTATTACATTTTATCATTTTGCAACACATTAATTTATGTGTTTTGGCATATACATCCATTTGTAACATTCATTTATCAGTTTGTAACATCAGTTCATCAGTTTGCAATACATTTATCAAATTGTAACATTAATTCATAAGTTTGTAATGGCATATTTATATATTTGTAACAGATTAATTTATAAGTTTGTAAAATATTTATCCATTTGTAACAGATTAATTTACCAGTTTGTCAAATTTATCATTTTTACACATTTATTAATCAGCTTGTAACACATTAGTTGATCAGTTTGTAACATTTATTTATTTGTAACACGTTAATTTATCATTTTGTGACACATTTAACCATTTGAAAAGTTCTCAGAGCTGGGCTTGTTGTCTCATTTCAGCATTTCTTTCACTGAGATTTTAAGGCACTGTTTAAATGCATCATTTGTGTCCATTTTAACCTCATGAGGAAACATGAGGAGACTGTTCATTGAAACTCTGAGACAAATGGAGCCGAGGAGGATAAAAGGATGATTTGAGATATTGTGTGATGCTTCTGTCCTGCATGGAACCATTCATTGGGGTTTTAAATAAAAAAGAGGGACAATAAAAAGGAGGTGGAGAAACTTTCCACTGCCTGTTTTTGCACTGAACGAGATTCCCAAGCACACATACACACATACGCTGTGCAGGAATCCTGGTGTTTAGCGTCGTACAGCAGCTCTCTGTTGGATCTGTCCTGTCATGGACGTTGTAAGAGACTCAACAGCAGCTCTCAAAACAGCTGATTTGCTTCCTCTTGTCTTTTGCCAAGTGGTTATGAGATGAAATGGGAAGGAAGAGGCACAGCAAAAGCTGTATCTGACTGTTTTAGAGCCATGGTTCAGACACAATTTGCATAATTTCCTCTTACTCAAATTTAGTTGATCAGCCAAGGCGTATGGTGTCTTAAAGTGCTTCTTTAGTTTTGCGCTGGAGGGACGAGGCTTATGTAACTAACAAGTAATGAAATACTCCTCAAGTTAAGATGCAAACTTCATGCCTAAATCATCACACACCTTCCTCGGACCGCATCGAGATCATAAGTAATCTTGAACAGATGTGTTTACGTGGTTTCTGACACTGTTTGATATGCTGTTATCTATAAAAATAGACCAAAGTGCACACATATCTAAAAAAAACAGAAGCAGCAGCCTGGATTGTTTCCATTTTTAAAGATAAGTCTATGTCATATATATGTATTATTATAGACAAATGTTTTGCATATGGAGAACTGAAGTGTGTAGTTAAGGTAAACATCACTGGGCAGATCTTCTTATGTTTCTATGCTGTGTCTGTGGTACAGGACAGCCCTGGCCGGCAGGCTGAGTGTTAGCCATGCTGCGACAGCAGGACCCTACAGCCAGTACTCTGCATCTGGTGGCCACAGACATGACGGAGATCATGGAGAACCTAGACACACGTGAGCTGGACATTGGAGATGGAGAGGAGGTGTATGATGGGCAGGATGGTAACAACTCAGGTAAGAGAGGAGGTGGAACAGTAATGGGTGCATAAGTCAAGTTCATATATCCACTTCATAATTACAAACATAGGGCTGGGTTTACTTTGATACACCAGGTGACAATGTTTTAACAGATTACTAAAGCTGGTTTCAGCAGATTTTTGTTTTAAAATATGTAAAGCCTAAAAATGATATATGTAGGCATATGGGTCATTCTCCATTTGGAGTGGGAATGCAGGTGGATACGTTTTTAAAAAATACATTATTTTCATCCCAAAACTAAATAATCTTAATATGTCCATTAACATCTCCTATTATCATATATGCATAAAGGAGAGTTTAATTCCAAACTTATTTTACAGTCACTGGTGTTCTATGAATGTGGTGTAACACCAGTGACTGTGACTCCAGTGACATTCTGGTTAAAACTGAGGTTTCTGTAAATTGGCTGACTCATTAGCCGTCAGGTGACCTTGTGCAACCATTTAAAATCAGTGATAAAATTATATTTGGCTTTATTTTGACAAAACTTTAATTACCCAGCCATTAAAGCACAGCACACCGGTGACACATAGAAGTTATGAGCTACCTGATAAACAAAATTATTAATAACTAAATGAAATATAGTGAACAAGTGTCATTCACCTTCTTATGTCTTGAGATGCTCATCTCTGATGAGCCTCGGTCCAAAGAAGCAGTTTAATAGAGCTGAAAATACTGTGTTAAAATGTAACATGAGAGTCCTGATAACACCAGTGACCACAATCTCTGTGACAAAAGAATTTTGTTAATATGTTAAAAAACATATTTTTTAAGTGTAGTTTAACGTTAATGATATAAAACGTAAACATGAATCTGTTTTATACCAATTCCTAAGTTAAACCTCCTGAAAATATTGTTTTATATAAAAATGGTTTCTCAAATGTTGAAAGTCGGTTGTGTGACGAGCTGTTTTACAGATGCAGAGCGACTATGAAACAGGATAAAAGAAGAAAAATCAGAGAATCATAAAGGAAAAGTGTTATTTAATCTTAGGTCAACTGTGTAAATGTACATACTGACTTTTAAAGCTGTGCCCAATATTTTAAGCATCTTTTTAAGCTCTGCAGCCTTTGTGACACAGTTCCCCCCCTCAAATGGAGAACGACTCTTATATGTAATGCCTCACTCCAGTCATACTCACTTACATTAAAGAAATGCTGTTGTTGGGGATGCATTATTGGTTGAAGGGGATAAAAAAGAGAAAGTGTTCAAATTCTGGGGGAGTCAGAGGTTTTGAGAAAAATTCTGGGGGGGTCCTATTCACCTGGTCATTGAAGAACAGGGTAAAAGGGGGCTAACAAAGTACGCAGAGAAACAGATGGGACTACAGTCTGTAACTGTAGAACTACAAAGTGCACCTATATAGTAAGTGGAGCTGATAAAATGAACACATAAAGAGCAACCAAGTAGAATTGAACAGTAGGGCTTGTCATGTGATCATAGACTAGTTCTGGCCAATATTTTGAGTGCTATTTAAATGGCGATTATTTCTCTGTAAACTAAGCTCCAAGCCTGTTATTGTGGTCAACAACACCAGCAAATCCATTTTTTCTGGCTTGAGGCTTGAATGCTGAGTGTGTGCGCCAGAATTATTTGAGTTATTTGTGGCTGTGATGTCACAGCACATTGAAGTATTGTTGCTTCTGATTGGTCTAAATGTTCCCCAGCTCTCTGTTATTAGGATACATTTTGTCTCTACATTCCTCAAAACATGACAGCATTGTGGATTATGGCAACTATAATAAAATCGCTGCTCTTGTCATTTTAAAATTGCACCTTTTAAAATTGTGATTTTGATATAAAAAGGATTATTCTTTTGGTCCTAGTCCACAGGGACCCATTTGGTCCAAAACTTTGCTCTATCCTGCCCTTACAGCTCTTAAAACACCTGAAACAAAGCAGCTAAGCGTACTGAATTACTGGTGTATGGTATGTTACTGGTAGGTGTATAATTGCTGGTATGTGTTACAACTGAATTACAACAGAGCAAAAATGTGGGCTGCCCTGTTTTCACTCTAAAGTAGTCCTCAGACGCAGCTGCATAGGTTCCAGACTAAATAAAAAGTGTCTCACAAAGTCTGTGCAATGGATTTTTTGGGCATCATGTCAATAAACAATAAACATGGTGATGCCTTTGTTTTTGAGGACATTTCTGCATGAATATGAGGAGTGTGTTTGCCCATGTTGGAGGTTTAGTTCCACAATATTAATTCAAGCATTACTATAACATCGAGTTTAAACAACTTCATATTTTTGCTTCAAACACTTATCTGAGGATTTATACTGCTGTGGCCATTACTAACGGACTGCTCTGTTCCTGCAGACTTCCGCGTCCCCTTCTCTGCTGTGTATAAGACGACAGGCTTCAAAGAGCCGGGGGCCCGAGTCTTCCTCACGTCTATTCCCATCACTGCCAAAATTCTGGAGGTGGAGCGCTTCGCCTCTCCACAGGACCGCTTCAGTATCACCAACCAGAGGAGTGTCTCTAAGGTCAGACATCCTGTGAATCACGTATTTAAGATCGATATTATTAATCCATAATGCCAGTATCACCCAGGCCAGTAATGTGTACTTGGCCTTATGCAGTATAACAAGCCAGAGACTGTTCTTTAGTTTATATAATTTCCTGTCAAAACAGGCTCTCAAGAGCAGGTGTTTAGTTTTTCAAGAGAAATCTCCAAGGAGATTAGATAAAAGATTGTTTTCTTGCATCAGGATGGGGAAAATCTAAGGAAAATAAGTAACAAAACACGAGTTTCCAAAACTAGAGTTCAAAAAAATCATGAAAAATTAAGAGAAAATAGGACTTCAATGGTGCAGGACCTTGTAGGCCACTAAAACTGTCACTGTCAGATAAACAGTGCTTAAAGCTTTCATCTTTGAGAGAGAGGAGAACATAGAGTGCCACTCTTGCTTCAGATCTAAAAAAAATTGTCCGTCCTTCCACTGTGAGAAGACAACTCAGCGCTCTGGGTCTGAAGGGATGTGTAGCTGTCAAGAAGCCTCACTGAGAAAAGGAGACGGACACATTAAACAAAGAAGCTGAACAATGGACTGACCACCCCAGAGTCCAGACCTCAACATCACTAAATGTGTTTGATTACTTCAGAAAATGATCAACCAACTTCCACTAAACTTTGAATGTGTATCTGCAGATTTCTTTGAAAAACTGGAAGTGAGTCTCCTAAAAAGATTGGAAGCTATAATAAAGGCAAAGAATGAAAACATTTAAACCTTTGATGTTATGTTCAGGTGTTTGGTTTTTTTTTAGCCTTTCACTGAAAAATTAATCACTTTATATGATAAATTATTAACTATGTGGCCGTTTTGACTGGAAATGAAAGAACTGAATGGTGGGCTTTGATTTTTGCACAGTGCTAAACATAACATTTTGTATGAATGAAATTCAGATACACTTCATACATTTGGTGTTAGATTCTCCATCTGATCAGTTGGCAGCAAGTGGGTTTCATAGTCGTCAAAATATCGAGTACAAAGTCAAACCTCGTAGCAACACAATGACAACTTTGAAGGAGAAAGAAGAACTTTCTTAATTTTAATGTACAATAGAATAAGATTTTATTGCGAGTCATTTTGGATCATTTCTATTGGTCCATTCATCATGAACTGTTAATACAATGTAAAAAAATAGCTGGCATTATGAAAAGATGTGAATATGACAGCAGTATACAGTGTTGCGCAAAGGTTTTAGGCAGCTGACAAAATTGTTAATGTATTTATTTTGGCAGTAAATGGGGTTTTGCCAGTAAAAACAGTGTATAACATTAGAAAATAGACTGTGTTAGTGTGTGTTGTGCTGGTACAAGTGGATCAGACACAGCAGTGCTGCTGGAGTTTTTAAACACCTCAGTGTCACTGCTGGACTGGGAATAGTCCACCAACCAAAAATATCCAGCGAACAGCGTCCTGTGGGCAGCGTCCTGTGGCCACTGATGAAGGACTAGAGGATGACCAACACAAACTGTGCAGCAGCAGATGAGCTATCGTCTGACTTTACATTTACAAGGTGGACTGATAAGGTAGGAGTGTCTAATAGAGTGGACAGTGAGTGGACACAGTGTTTAAAAACTCCAGCAACACTGCTGTGTCTGATCCACTCGTACCAGCACAACACACACTAACTATCAGTGTTACTGCAGTGCTGAGAATGATCCACCACCCAAATAGTACCTGCTCTGTGAGGGTCCGTGGGGGTCCTGACCACTGAAGAACAGGGTAAAAGGGGGCTAAAAAAGTATGCAGAGAAACAGATGGACTACAGTCTGTAACTGTAGAACTACAAAGTGCACCTATATAGTAAGTGGAGCTGATAAAATGGACAATGAGCGTAGAAACAAGGAGGTGGTCATAATGTCATGCCTGATCGGTGTATGTATATTAACCCACTTGATATGCCTCCTGGAGTTGCTTCATTCGAATTGAGCTATTCATTTTCAATCAGTCTGTTAATCATAGCCCACATAGGGATCTTCAATGGACTTCAGAATGTCAGAATGTAGGAGCTGTTAATGTGAAGCTGGGAGTTCTAGGCTTGACGCTGCTGACGCCACACCATCCCCCGCCTGCGGCATGCATTATGCAAGAGAAGGCGTCTGGACGTCCAAAGTGTGAGCTGCTGCCCAGCTCGCAGCCACATAAATAATCATATCAGGTTTTTTATGATTAGATCGGGCCGCAGCAGACGGGTTCTTTTTTGCCTAAAATTTTAAGCACCACATGTGGCACAAGTCTGGCACTGCTTAATCATCTATTTAGTGCAGTGTGGTGTTCACAGTAACAGATAATTGGGATGCCTTTCCTCAGCAGGGACTAAGTATCTCTGGAGGATTAAAGACAAAAAAGCGAGGAGGCAAAACAGCCAGGCACAACATGAAAACAGTCTTTCAGTGTGTTTGAAAGTCAGTTATTATACTAACCTTAATGCTGAGGATCCGTCACAGTTTTCCAGTTACAGTTCATAATCAGTGTCTAGAGGGCTTTTGGAGCAAATTTGGATCTATTATAAGCACGATAAAGGCCCATTAATATGCAGTAGTGTGCAAATGTTTTAAACGCCTGAGAAAATTAGATTTAAAAATCAGTTTATCTGTCCAGAAACAGATACAGTACAATTTAATACAAAGCAGTGATTTTATGGATGTCAGTGTGTTAGTTTAACCATTTGTGAAGTTCTCCTCATGGCAGCCCAGTGTACATTGTAGTTAATCAATACTTTATTATGTCAAATCAGATGTTCGTGTGATGGTTGATTGAGGAGAAATCTGGAACCAAACCTTGTTCTTCAAACTAGCTCATAATATTGTTACTGTTTGGTAAGAAAGAAAGAAATTCTTGTCACTTTTTCTGTCACTTTTTCTGATGATATATGGTAAATTGTTTTAAATAGTGTGCTATTCTGGAATATCCTGAGCCAGTTTTTTTCCCACCAATCCGAACCTAAAACCATAATACTGAGTATTGTCTGATTCTGGTCTGATCTGATATTTTTATGGTCACAGATAATCTCACACAGTTTAGGTCAGATACGCCAATTGATGCTACAGTAAAATCCCTTCATTTTCAGTCTGTGCATAAAGTGACGCTCCAGATTGGGATGTTTTGTTTGGTCTTTTTTCCTATATATTGTCAGACAGTATAGCGTGGGTTTAGGATCCTGTTTGATTAACTGGAAAATTTGTCTACGGGTTACTTTCAACAAAATCATAAGACATAGCGCCAGGCATAAATGGGGATTAAAAGAAGGGCTGTGTGTTTCAACTAACTTTGAAATTCACAGATCTTTAAGGATTAACCAACGGAGAAAACAGGGAAAGAGAAAAACAAGGATAACGACGGACGTAGAGCGTTTTCACACCTGAAAGTCTGAACCAAAGTTAATGTTTTTGTTACATTGTATACATTTGATCCGCTTAGTTTTGGTTTCACATTGCTATTTATTGTACTAAAGAACTTTGCATGACACACCTGCACCTGTCATCACCTGCGTGGTCTGCGTCTCGCTGTTCTTGACATTGATTGGTTTGTGGAGGAACGTGTGTCTGACGTCGGCGTGTTGTCGATTTGGTCGGGTAGCCTTTTCTTACATCTTCTCAGAAGATGAGATGTAAGTTTTGCCATTTTTCTGCGTTTTTTTCACATTTTTTTGACTTTTTTTTTCCAAGTTACAATTAGTTATTTCGCCTCCTCTCCCTATTACTGTGGCTCATTTTTACTTCTCTGTCAGTTCTTTTTCTTTTTCTTTTATTTAATGTGTGACGACAGCCTGCCTCAACTTCCTGTAATTGGTCTGAAAGTCAAAACAATCCAAAAAGTGTTTTCACACTGCAAATGAACCAAACCATGGTTCGGTTTGAACCAGACCAAGACCTCCTCTTTTGGTCAGACCAGTTTTTGGTCCCTCGGTCCACACCTTGATCCGAGGCACCCTTCACACTTGCTGTTTCAGTTCGGACCAAACCTCTTTTGGTCGGACCAGATTTTGGTCCCTTGGTCCGGACCGTGGTCTGAGGCAACTTTCACAGCTGCTGTTTTGGTTCGGACCAAGCTGAAATATCCAGAGGTCCAGACCAAACAAGGTAGTTGTGAAAGCACCCTTAAAGAGCTGTAGGCTTACCTGTTGGTGACAGGTGACAGCACTGGTGTTACACAAAGAATTAACAGCATGCAGAGCAACACATTTAAAAACACTTGTATTATTCAAAAACAGCTGAAGGAAATCGGTGGGTTTTTGTGTTGGGTGAGTAACTGAGGCTGCCTCTTCAGATGAGCCAATGAGCTAACAGGTACAATGCTGGATGCTGATGAAGACTTGTCTGCTTTTTACAGTTGGATGTTGGTCAGAGAATATATTTTCACTGTTTCTGGACCTAGCTAAGAGTCAGTGGTTGCTCTCTGCCTTCTCAGTAGATAATTGATCCTTTTAAACACACTCACATTAAGGCACTTGTGTTTCTTAGCAAAGGGTAATATAATACTTTTACTTACTCTCAAATATGAATGAACTCCCCACATTTTACTGTCCTGTTAAAACATAAAACTGTTTATATATGTATTTCCTCTTTCTTTCTGTGACAATAACAGACTGACTGACAGTAACTGAGTGCTCGTGCACATTCCTGATCATATGTGTTTGAAACAGCCCATACATTTACACGAACAAGGACTTGTGGGACAGTTTTGTCTGACAACAAATGCACCGAGAGACTGGCCCAGTAAATGTGCATGATACCCTTCCTCCAGTCATGAAATCAGATCCCTGAAGCTGCATTCAACACTCATGGAAATGCCAGGTGTAAACAAATATACATCTTGCAGGTCACTGGAGATGTTATTGTAGAGCCACAGACACGTCAGAAGGATTCAAAGCAGATCTAACAGCGTAATTTACCTTTGTTCTCTGTAAGGCTTGAATACTTTTGTGGTAATTTCTAGTGGCCACACCTTCACAGTATAGTTAAGTGTCCTGACAACACCCTGGTAATTTAACTGCAGTGTCCTCAACAATGCGTATTCTATACAGCAAAAGCAGTGTACCCGGATTTGTATGTCAAAAAAAAAAAAGGTTTGTGAGAACGTGAAACGTGTGAACTGTAACATAGCACACTAACAAAAGTAACCAAAATAGCTTGACCAACAGTTGTATGCAAATGTTTGGGTGTCACTACTCATGTTTTCTTGATTGTGAAAGTAAGTTGTCGCATTCTCTGCAGAGAACACACTTCTGCACATTTGAATGCACATTTACTGCTTATTTGCTGAATTTAACAGACTGGAAGAAAATAAAACATAAAATGTATCTTGAGTAAAACGTCTGGCACGTTTTATATGGGATGTCATTTTTTTTTCAAAAACTTACCAAATAAATAGAAATTGCGCACTATAGTTGCACTGTAGAGGATGTGTTAACTTATTTTCACTTGGAAAATCAACAAAACATGTCATTTGACCAGGGTGTTCACACTTATGCATATTACTGAATAGATACTAACACAATTGCACAGCCTTGATTCACAAAAAGATCCAATTTCCCAACAACATACCTCACCAGTTAGCTTCCATCAACACTACACATACCATGAGATGTGTATATCTACCTCTTATGCACCTGTAACATGGAATATTTCATATTTATCATTCTAAAATCTTAAATAAAATATAGCCTAACGTGAAATGTTAGGTTAATTTAAGTGAGTGGAGTGGCCTTGAGAGCATAAACTTGTTTGAGTCACAACAATAGTGAGTAAACAAGCAGTGGGGCCTATACAATCCTGGTTACACCACTGGGAGTAGCTAAAGATAATAATAATAATAATAATAACCATAATCATAATCTTTTTTTATAGAGTGCTTTTCATACCTTGGCCTTCTACAAATACCCTCTGTAAAATACAGAAAACATGGAGAGAAATTGTGGAGCTCAGTTCCACCTTTTATTAGACAGTCAAGCTCAGTGCTCACTTTTAAGAAACATCTAAAAACGCATCTCTTTAGCTCAGCATTTAATTAAAACTCTGCGTCTCGTGGTGTTTATCTTCAAATTCTATCTTTTTTCATTTTCTTCTGATTCTAAATAAATACTAATGATTTCTTGTATAACTGTTTTATCACCTGTCTGTAAAGCACTTTGAGCTGCCACCATCATGAAAAGAAAATTATTATTATTATTATTATTATTATTATACCAGTGGCAGATCAGAGTGCTTTACATGCAGGTGATTAATCTTAACAGTAATAGAAGAAATGTGCTTGGCACATCTTAATGTCTTCCCTGTTCCCAAAACACCTGATCCTACTAATCAGCGAATTAACAGCCTCTCACTGGGTTGATGTGTAAAGTATTGGGCCTCCCAGACCAGTGATGGCTAAGCAGTCTATTATTATTGTTAGCAATACCTACAAAAAGTAATGACCGGAAGATTTTCTTTAATGGAATATGAACCAGACCGTACAACCCTACATAAGCTGATGTTTTGCAAACATTATAAAACTCTCTGTTAAAAAAACCCTCTGTCCCGTTTATAAAAGGAAGTTCCTGCCACAGTTGTGTGAAAGCGCTCTTAATACTTGGCAATGCATTGAACTCTTGCTGTTATACCTGTGTTACAGGAGTCAGGAATGGTTTTGAAGTGAGCAGTGAATGAAATGTGTTATGGTTTTGCAGCTTGCGTTTATATGATGTGCATTCCAGTAGAGTTTGCCCTACGTTTTCAAGTGATAGCACTCACACACGTCAGCCTGCGGCACATGCTGTGCAAAAAAATACAGGGGAACATTATATGCCATTTTATGCTTAAACATTTGTAGACAACATTTCTTCTGAAATTAAAGGTAATTACTAGGGTGTTTGCCCCCCTGTGCTGCAGTAACAGCCTCTATTCTTCTGGGAAGGCTTTACTCTAGATGTTGGAACATTGCTCTGAGGATTTGATTGCATTCAGCTACGAGAGCATTAGTGAGGTCAGGTACTGATGTTGGATGATCAGTTCTGGATCACTCCAGCTCACCCTGGAGTGGTACTTGATGGAGCTCTATCACTGCAGAGAATGCAGTTCCACTGCTCCACAGCCCAGTACTGGGGGGCTACATAAACCTCTAGCCAACACTTAACATTGAGCATGGTGATCTTAGGCTCATGTGCTGCTGCTTCAGAGCATCTCTTTCAGTTGGCAGTGCTTTTCTTTGGGGATTATACACGCTTTGTGTGCAAAGCTGTGTCAGCAATAAATGCACCTTAAAGTAGCTGAAATCAGTAATTAGAAGGAGGGTCTTGATACTTCTGGGCATATAGTGTATCACCTAACAATGTCAGTTTATAAACCTAATGCTATGCGAAAAAGTCAGTTACCCATCTCTGTTAAAGAGAAAGTTATATGTGTTCCTAAAATGTTAACAGATGGCTTGCTGTCTTTGGCCAGAGACACATAATTAAATGATGGCTGCATTGATCAAGTTAGTGCAACCATAAGTCTCCCCATGAGATTAAAATGGACATTAATGAGACATGCAAGCAGTGCCCTAAAGTCCCAGTGAGAAATTGCTGAAACAGAGCCACAGCGCTAGCTCTGAGCGCTAATTGGTAAATGTGTCCTTTTGTGAAAAGCTTGAAGGCAAGCCCTGGTCTCAACGATTCAGTGCATTAGACAAATGGTCAAATACTGAGAAATACTTAGACTTTAACAGTTTGATAAATGTGGCCATTTGTTTGTGGAAAGGCTGAAGGCGAGCTCTAGACTCTAGATTTATACAAAACATCACTATATATGAGCACATGTAGTGGCCAAAACAGAACTGATCCTCTGTCAGTCAGCACACGCATAGAGCTCTTAGTGATATTTCTTATGTTGAGGACAACCAAATCAGTCTATCGTTTTCATTTGAAATGTCCTGCTTAGGCCCAACCTCATTTCTTATTTTTACCCCTATCCCTTTGTTTTTCGAGTGGCACCTTGCCTCTTGGTCCTGAGTTACGAGGGGTAGTGGTTGAAATCTTCCCTATGAAATGGGACCCTCAAATAAAAAGAGCATCACTTCATTAACAGCTACTAGCGCTGCTCTGTAGGCGACCCTGCCAGTCTGCAGTGACAGCAGAGGAGGGTAAAGTTCAGCTCCTCACTGCTGGGCTTTAGTTACATTTAGGGAATCATACGCCTTCAAAGAGGGGGCGCAATTATTTATTATCGCCCACCCCTAATTCTTCGGTGATATGAAGCTGAAGTCAGCTATTCACCAGCATCTTGTTCAAATTTTCCTGTTTCACTTTAAATGCAGCAGCAGTTATATTCTATTCTAAACATGCTATTAGTGATTTTTTTTTTTGCTAGTTATGAAGAAAATGACCATAATACATTGAAATAACATTAAACTAAGATAATACAGTGGTTATCATAACTTTTTAACTGAGAAAATTCTCACATTTGTGGGTTTCTTTGGTCGCTTGTTCAGCCATCTTGCCGTTTTTTCGTTTTTTTTCTCGTAACTCTCTGTTTGGAGTCTCTGAAAAACCTCCGTATGGAGGACCATGTAGCCCAAACACTTCACCGTACCCCTCTATCTCAACAAGAATCGGTACACCCTACTATGCGTGAACGTTCAGAACGGAGGGCTAAGCGCTAAGTGGTAGGGGTGAGGTGGGCCTTATTTTGCCGATTACCCATGTGATCATGTTTTAACAAAGGGCAAGCAAAAAATTGACCTAACTGAGCAACAACAAACCTTGCATAACATTTCTAAATGTGTGTCATCAGACTCACAGTGTCTTATTGTAATAGAGGGCAGTGGGAGAACTTAAGTATGCATTGTCATCATGTAAACTGCCACCTAATCCCTGCTGATTCATTAAGAACATACATTTTAATTGTGTAATCAAGTTTTCTTCTACATGTAAATAAAATTAGGCCATATTACATGCAATGTAGCCTAAAACAGCTGGAAGATCTGTTATTTTCACCCTTGACACAGCATTATCTGTCCTCCAGTTGCTCCCTGCAGTGTTCAGAATCGAATTGAGACATGGGAACTTCACCTGGGTGGTGAAAAGGAAGGAGAAGCACTTCATGGAGCTGCACAGAGAGTTACGAACCTATAAGACCTTACTGAGGATTCCTCTGCCCTCTCGCACGTGAGTACAAGCTGCTTCTTCTCCATCACAGCTACTGTTTCCTCTTTCTCTTTGCACGTATTTCTTATTCTGTCTTACACTTTTGTACCATCTTGATGCATGTAGGCACACAGAGCGGAGGCAGACGGTCAGACACACACGTCAGATGCCCACTCTGCCAAGAGGAGGAGGGGATGAACTGGTCAGGGAGGAGCAAGTGTCCAGCCGCAGGGTTGGTTTTCTCTTTAATGTGACGTTTAATCTGTCACAACACATGAAAGGGTATATTAACATGAATGTTGTGTATGGTCTGATATACAGTGGAGCTGCACCATATTGACAAAATACTAGTCTTGCAAATGTATGGCTGTATGTTGCGGTTGTCATATGCATCGCAGTATGTTAGAAGCACACTGGTGCGTCAGTAGTGCGACATGGTTAAAGACTGACCTACATTTTTTTATGGTGGATTACATAAATACCCTGATTCATTTAATCACTGTGATTAGTTAGAGGACTCATTGGCATAATGCAGAGGTGGATGAGTCTGAATGAACAACAGTCATATGTAAATGTTTGAGCAGCCCCCGTCAAATCTCACATTTTGTTGATTTTCTAAGCGAAAACGAGTTGACTCATCCTCTAAAAGGCAAATTTTAGTGCTAAATTTGTCTTTGTTGGAAGACAATATAAAACAAAACATATCTAAATGTTTACACTGGACATTATTTAAGATTTTAGAGTTCTGAATTATGAGTATGTCTTATTGAATGTGAATAAGAGGAAGATCCCTGGCCAAATGACATATTTTGTTGATTTTCCTAAGTAGAAATAAGTCAATACATCCCCAACAGGGAACAAACAAAATGTGTGATTTTTCTGCTAAATTTAGTGCACAATTTCTGTTTATTTACAGAGTTTAATGTGTGGGTATAAAATAAAACATAAAATATAAAATGTTCCATATTTTTGGCACAGGCCACATTTTATTTATTGTTTTTTCCAGTATGTTAAATAATAAAATAACTTTTTGCAAGCGACTGCGATATCAGTACGGCAAAGGCCAATGTCACAGTAACAATTAACAAAATATAGATTTCTCAGCCCTGCTGTACATTGTATATTGTTTACATTGCATTGAAGTCATATGTGATCTGCTTCCTTTAACAGAGACAGCTGGAAGATTACTTGAATAAACTGCTAAAAATGCCAATGTACAGGAACTACCATGCCACAGTGAGTTCTGATGAGGATTCAGTGTTTTCTGATTGGGATTGTTTAGAATAGCTACACATATTAGACATGACCATTACACTGTGCTGCCCGATGTGTATGATAAATGTCCCATTTGTCTACCTTAGATGGAGTTCATTGATGTGAGTCAGTTGTCCTTCATTCACGATTTGGGACCAAAAGGCTTGTAAGGACTTTTTGTTGATTGAAACTGATACTTGGAGAACAACATTATTGATAGAGAAATCAATGTATATTGAATGACTGTGGAGATCTGAGTTACTGATCCTTGTTCTTTGGCCCTGTTTCTTGTTCAGGGAGGGCATGGTTTACAAAAGGTCAGGGGGTCACCGTATTCCTGGACTCAACTGCTGCGGCCACAGCAAAATGTGCTACCGCTGGTCGAAACGGTCAGTGTCCACTGAATTCATAATGTACTTCGTCTGCATGTGTCCATATTGTAAGTGTGCTCTGAATTATAGAACAGTGTTGAGACTGCGGCGAGCATTTTCCATTCCTTCAGTACTCTGAAAGACTCAGAGACCACCCTTTCATTGATTCAGTTTCCAGCCAAATTTCAGTATCAGGAAAAAAACAGAAAACGTATATTTAATAGAAACTTACACAGAATCCTTAATAACTCAGATAATATGATTTTTTCAGTATTTACTGTGCCCACTCCTTTGGCTTTATTACAGTTTCCCTTCTTTTTGGACTCGCTTTCAGTTTTTCCAAAGAAGTCTGGGGGGATATTTTTTCATATTCAGTGATGTTGAGGTCTGGACTCTGGAGTGGTCAGTCCATTGTTCAGCTTCTTTGTTTGATGTGTCCGTCTCCTTTTCTCAGTGAGGTTCTTCTTGACAGCTTCACATCCTTTCAGACCCATAGCACTGAGTTGTCTTCTCACAGTGGAAAGGATGGACAGAAACACCTGTGGGTGTTTTCAGATCTGAAGCAGCTTGATTTTCTCCTCTCTCTCAGTTTTGGTGTCTACCAGGTCTTGCATGGTTGTTAGGAGGCCCATTTTCTCTGTATCTATTAATCAGGACTCCAATGTTTTGTTTTTTCACTTATTTTCCTTTGACTTTCTCCTTCATTATGCAAGTGGTTTTTTATTTTTCTAATTCCTTCAGAAACATTTCCTGAAAAATTTCTAAGTTGTATGTATTGGCCATTTTGGTAGTGGTGTATTAGTGATGTGTTATTTTTAAAGTATGGTGGATTTAATTGACTCAGTAGAAAAGATTCAGTGTCTCTATCTAACGTTGCTGATTTTCAGGCGTAAATAATGTGGTAACCAGCAGATTTATGGTAAAAGCTTGATCTATCATGCTTGATCCACTCTGTGGCTTTTCAGAGCATCTAGTACTGGGGAGCCATTTACGAAACACACTGTTTAAATTCCTGCATTGGGTTTTGACCCACAAGAAAAAATGACTGATATTCCTTCTAGAACATGTTGAGCTTCCACGCTTTTAGTTCTATAAACTTAGTCCAAATGCCCTCCCCCTTTCTTATAAAAGTAGATTATCTTATAACTGATCTCCGCAGAAATGTCTCCTGGAAAATAACTAGACATTTAATGAATAAAGGGTGTTCTCTGACTTTGCACAGTACTGTATAGCATATATATTTTATTTATATGCCTTCAGCGCTGTTCTGTGATGAGGCTTTGAAACAGTGCAGCAGCAGGTTTATTTTTTTTTACATATTCAGTACATCAACAGTGGTGCGCCTGATTGTAGCACCACCGACACTCATACCACCACAGCACTCCTCCTTAGTAGCTATAAATATTGGTCACAGAAATGGAACAATCCTAACAAGGCTGCGTGATGACGTCGCCAGAGCGGCGCCAAACTCGTGAGGGGGGTGGTGAGAGAAAATGGAGCCCATTGCATTGTGTTTGTTGCTTTTTCATTTCTTCACAGAAGTGGAGGAGATGTTCTTACGTAGTACGATAAACTACACATATACAAATACTTCTAAATGAAATACGATATATGGACGATGTACAATATATGGACGAATTATTTAATTAATCAGTGATTTACACTTAATAAGGTAACAAAGATGAATTCAAGTACGTGAACAACTTACACTGTAAAACGAGTTCTGCTCCAATATCTTTGTTTTCCGTCATTTTCATGGTGCTGTTTTCTTTCCTTTGCGTCATTCGTGCTCAGAGAACTGTGGGTAACCGAAGGCCTGTAAGGACACATGAGTTGTGTCCTCGAAATCACATAGGCTGCATTTCTAGGCTGCATACGAAGGATCCTTTACTTTGGAACTTCAGAGAAATGCAGTGTACCTTGGCTGCAGCCTAGGCTTTGGAATGCAGCTAGAATCTTGTCAGTGGTGGTCCTAAAGTGGTCTCTTTCCATTGATGGACGGAGTAAAGGGCAGCTGATAAACTGTGCAGCAACACACAGTAATTGTATATCTACTCAGTGTACCTATGCAACTGATAAAATAGTTAATGAGTGTAGGTACAAGGTAGGTGTCCTTAATGAAATGACTAATGAGTGTATATATGTTGGTGTCGTGCATGGTGCCCTCTGTAGGTGGCTGGTGGTGAAGGACTCCTTCCTCCTGTATATGAAGCCTGACTCAGGGTCCATTTCATTCGTCCTTCTGGTGGACAAAGAGTTCTCTGTCAAAATGGATTCCAAAGACACAGAGACCAAGCATGGGGTTCGTGTTGACAGCTTGTGCAGGTCTGTGAGCTCCGGTCTTCTGGGCCAGATATCCTATTTCCGGTGGGATGCTGAACAGATTGATGAAACTCTTAATGCTTTTCCGCAGGAACTGGTTCTGAAGTTCTCCAGTTACCGCCAAGCCCGCTGGTGGGGCCAGGCCATCGACGACTTTGTGCGCAAGTATGGCAGTGCCTTCCTCCAGGAACATCGTTTTGGCTCCTTTGCCAAAGAAGCAGAAAACATCCCTGCCAAATGGTAACCGTTTCTTTTTTGTTTAGATCACATCATGGTTCTCATCATTACTTAAAGAATACTGACCAATTGTATATTTCTTCGCATAAAGAACTTAATTAGGCCTGTTTGTTTAGCTTTAGTGCGGCGCAGCGTGTGGAACATTGAATACAAATGATTGTGTGGCACTCCTGGAGCCTTTTAGTCTGTTTTAACATATCAAACTACAGAAAAATGACATATTATGATGTGTATCAAAATTACAAAATTACATTCCTTTTTGATTTTCTTTGGTTCAACACCTGCACTGCGTTGTGCTTGCTCACATCTCTAGTTTTTTTGAGCTGTAGTTTTTGTTTTATTTAAAAAGACCCCAAAAGAGAATAGAAAAATAGTAAAAGAGAATAGAAAAAGAATAGTAGTGCCTTACAAACAGGTTTTATGTGGATGAATGCTGAATGTACTAAGATGTTTTAGCTAGAGCAGTTCTATGGTCAACGTAGTACTTAAGTAGTTCCCCCATTGTTTTTAGAAAGGTACTTTTGCTTTATTCATAATTTTATCGTAGTAACAATACTTAAGAGTTCACGATACATGAAGAAATTTCAATAATACATAACACATTATTTAATTTTTTCTGAGGTTTGATTCGATGTATCAGACAAAAAATCCCCAGTGGTGTAACATTCAGTCAAAAACTCCACTCCACTTTTTTTATTACATACTGTGCTGCACTAAATCCAATTAAACCGGACTAATTATGCTCTCTTTGTAATGAAACGTGCAGCTGGCCAGTTTTCTGTGTATACTATAAATATCTACAGTATGTTCAGAAAAAGCATATTGTGGCATAATTTATTATTCAAATGTGTGTATTGATTTTTTTTTTATTTACCCACAAATACTTCCAGACAAATTCTCCTAAACCCCCCAACAGCGATCCTCACTTACGCATACAGACCTAGCTAAAGTCAATAAGGAAAGAGGAGAAAAACAAAAGAGAAAGAAAGGAGGAAAAAAGAATGTAAAACAAACAAATAAATGAATAAATAAATAAAAAGAGGAAAAAAGACCTTTACGATATGTTTAGTGAGTGAAAATACTCAGTCTCGAAATGTGTCAACCAGTTGCCAGCATTTATAGACCCTGCTGGTTGAACCTCTTGTAATATGGTCCAATAAACAAGTTAAAGATGTACCATAACCTCTTTGATCCATTTGGTGGCTCGGCCCTCTTCCACCTACGGAAGGATCATCTGCTTAGCCAGTTACATGGAAAAGGCTATGATTTCTGTCTGTTATGAAGTTGCTTATATATCCTCTAGAACTACCCCAAATAAGGCTGCCAGAGGATTAGGTTTAAAATGTGTGTTCCAATGTGTGAAAACGTGTTTAAGATATCTAGACAAAAATCCAACACTTTTGGGCTTGTCCAAAATGGCTTTAGGTGCCTGGGTCCCACTTACACCTAAGACAAGTTAGGCCTGTATTTGGATATTCTTGCCAATTTATTTCTGGACAGATGTCATCTACAGAGCACTTTAAACTGTTGTGACATAATTTATCACAACAAAGATAAAATATCGCCTCACTGCCCACCCTTGAACTCTACCCACCTTTGTGTTTGTTGCATTTTTATTATCATTAGCAACATTAGACTTAGCACTGTAGGTAAGTTGTAGTCTGTAGTCCTCTGACTCCTTGAATGTCTCCAGGTGAAGTTGGTTTCACTGGAGTAACCTGAGACAATGGGAGTGAAAGTAATACAGCAGCTGCGATCCTCTGCTGACCCTTTACAGGAATGTGATAGTGTCCGTGTGAGAGACAGCAGCTAATGCTCCAACAATGAAACACCGGTCAGCCACTTCAACCAAGGCCAGGGGAGCTGTTGGTCTTGGCTGAGCAGAATGATTTGTGCTTTAGTATTAGGGCATTAAGCTCCATTAGCCTGCTTGTTACCTGAATAATTCAGTTGTTTAATGGGGTAACAGTAAGTCCATGGATAGTAAACAAGATGCCTTAAATCACAAGAGGATGCCTGGTTCCCTGAAAAAAAAAATACTTTGGAATTTAATATAATAGTGTCTAGTTGGTTTCAACAGCCCACTGCTTCACTGGCAGTAGAAAGTCCTGCCATTTACGTCTGCCTAGACTGTCTGTGCCTTAAATAACTCCTGAGCTAAGTGGTGTCTGCTTAGCATTTAACACTTGCAGTGAAATGGAGAAGCCAATTATGATACATTTCTTATTGGCAGTAAATAGTAAAGAATCGACTGAAGTTTGTGCTTTCTAAAGTATGTTAGGTTCAGTTGACTCAGTAGAAGCAAAACAGAAGTTGCTTATTTCAGAAATAAGTGATGTGGTAACCAACAGATTCATGGTCACAGCTTGATCTATCAGGCTTGGCACACTCTGTGGATGTTATGAACAACTTGTACTGCACTGGGGAGCCGTTTACCAAACACACAGTTTGAATTCCTGCATTGTTTTTTGACTCACTAAAACAGGGGCCGGCAACCTAAATGTTAAGAAGAGCCATTTTGTCCTTTAAAAAATTCTGTCCACCTTGGGAGCCACAACATTTTATGTCCGTTTTACCATCTTGGCTGTAAATGTGTCTCAGTGCTAATGTACTAGTATAGGATAATAAATATAATATAAACAAAAACGTAGACTTACTTTGCTCTGCTTTAAGCTTTAGCTCAGCTGTAGCCGCTGTTCTCGCATCTCTGGCAGGAAACTTTTCTGCAAATATAGAACAGTTTCTTGTAAAATGTCTCTCAGCGCTTTTTAATAAGGCTCAAGTCGCTTCTCATTCACCAGCTTCTTGTTCACATTTTTCCGTTTCACCTTAAATGGTGCCTGAGGCGCCAGAATGTAACTGCTGCACCATTTAAGGTGGAACGGGAAAATTTGAACAAGAAGCTGGCGAATGAGAGTCTGACTTCAGCTTCATGACTTTTTAGTGTTTGACAGTTTCTTGTTGCAGATTAAACGTATCAGGAAACCAGATGGAGTGATTCTAAATGCAAATGAGTCCATTTGTCTCCAAATTATTGATGTTCGTCTTAAATGTTTCTCTTTGCCTTTTTGTTAGCTCCAGCATTTAAGACCATTTAGAACGATCAGCAGAGCTTTATTTTACTGCAAAGGAGGATTATTTTATTTTTACCTAAGGAATCTAATTTTGCTGTGGAACCACAACACGGCAGTAAAAGAACCCCATGTTGCCGACCCTTGTACTAGAAGAAATGACCAATGTCTCTGAAGAATATGGTGGGCATCCACACTGTTAGTTCTATAAACCTAGACAGTATTTTATCACCTAGCATTAGAGGCTAATAGAAGTATTTGATTTGTGGAAAGAAACACTTTACCATTGGTATTAAATAATCCTGATGATGCTGATGATGACTGTGTTATGTTTTAGGTATGTAAACGGTAAAACGTATATGGAAGATGTGGCAAATGCACTGGAGGAAGCTGAGGAGGAGATCTTCATCACTGATTGGTGGTACGTGCAAACAAGACACAGTTTACTCGGGGTTAGCATGGATTTTAGAGCATAGAAATGTCTAGACTGGTTTCTTGATTTGGGTTTCTTGGAGCCATTCAGACAAAGCTGTACCAACATCAGATGGAATTCCCAACAAGTATGAAATGATTGGATTCTCAGTAACTTTGCTGATTTTAAGTTTAAGCAAACATTCTCACTTTGCCCACTGTGCTGTACAGTTCAGGAGGCTAGAAGGAAAGGCTGTTAGATAGGCAACATAGTAGGTAGAGGAAACAGGCTCAACTCATCAATTAAATATTTGATATATAAAAAAACGTAATTTCCAACAAAATTTTCTAGCAGCTTGCTAAAACTGTTATTTATATAGAGAGTGCACAGAGCACGAAAGAAAAGAGGACACCACTGGATGAACAGATGGTGAAGTGTTTGTCCAGAACCTGAGAGATTCAACCAAAAATCAGAGAGCGCCCTTTACTTACTTAATTTCCAGTCAAAAAGGCCATAAAGTTATTAATTTTTAAAAAGATGTATCTGAGGACATTACATATCCACTTGCATAATGAAGGAGAAAGCCAAAGAAAAAGAAGTGAAAACAACAGGAGTTTCCAGGAGTTAAACAATAGTAAAAGATATAGAGAAGATGGGACTCTAATGTCCAAGACCTGGAAGACCAAGAAAACTGTCATCATCAGATAAATGAGGGAGTGTTTCTGTCCATCCTTCCACTGTGAGAAGACGACTCCGCGCTGTGGGTCTGAAAGGATGTGTAGCTGTCAAGAAGAACCTCACTGAGAAAAGGAGACGGACACATCAAACAAAGAAGCTGAACAATGGACTGACCACCCCAGAGTCCAGACCTCAACGCCACTGAATGTGTTTGATTACTTCAGAAAATGATCAACCAGCTTCTAAGACTGAACTTTGGAGGTGTGAAAAATATTCCTGCAGATTTCTTGGAACAACTGAAATCAGTCTTCTAGAAAGATTGGGAGCTGTAATAAAGGCAAAGTTTGGACACAGTAAATACTGACACATTTGATATTATATATAGTTCTTGGTAATTAATGTTAAAAATATGTTCTCTGCTTTTTTTCCTGATGCTGACAAATGAATATCTTTAACTTTATGGCTGTCTTGACTGGAAATTAAATTAATTAAGGGTGGACACTTATATATATATATAAGTATGTCATAATAATTTTGTAAGCCTAACACTAAACCTAACCCTAACCTTTAATCTCAGTAACCAAAAAGAAATGGTCTGGGTTTTGAGTTTTAAACAAATGAAACATGTAGCTTAAGTAAAAAAACACTTTAAATCAGGATCATTTTTCAGCTCATGACAGGACCTGTTTTTCTCTGGTTTTCCTACATAGTCAGGATATTTTACCCAGAAAATGTACAAAAACAAACACACACACACAGAACACATTTGCACAGAAGACGCCTCCGGCAGGGAACAGTGGTCAGAGAGATCTCTTACTGCTATCAGACAGGCAGCAGGTGCACTGTTACAGGTCTGTCAGTCAGCGTGTCAGAAATCCTCTTGTGTAATTGTGTGTGTGTGTGAGTTTTCTACATAAAGGAATAGCACTACACTAGTATTTCCAATGTCCCATGATATCATTGTGTCCCACTACAGGCTGAGCCCTGAGATTTTCCTCAAGAGGCCCGTCGTTGAAGGCAACCGCTGGCGCCTCGATTGCATTCTGAAACGCAAAGCAGTGAGTTAATACAGTGTTGCTCTGAATGGAAATAATCTCAACATCTGTGAAGTTACAGCAGTAACCACAAACTACAAGTTTAATGTTTCCTTTGGCTCATTTTCCTAAGCTCTTCTGTGTGTATGTGGCTAAAACAGTGTAACAGTGAAAGAAAACGGCTTGAGGAGCATCAAGAGTTGAAGTGCTGCCTTAAAATTAGAAAAACAATGTGTAAATGGAAGGTACTACTGTAGGTTAGGCTATATGACTGTAATTATTGTTATTGTGCTAAGTTACATTGCAGTATATCTCAGTTTGCTCTTCTAAGCATATCATTTAATTAATCATTTAATCATTTAAAAGCATATAAAACACTCCCCAACTGCATGTTTCATCACAGAGAGAGCACATTTTGTCCTGTTTAATCTGTTATAGTGCAGTGCAGTGTATGAAATGTTGAATACAAATAGTTGGATTTACACTTTTAATAGTATTTTTCAAATGTATCTGTTCCAACTTTTAAGATGTCAGAAAAAATACATATACTATAGCTAGTGTTAGCAAACTAAAGCCACCAGTTTTGATGTTATTTATAGATAATGTCACACATTCTCTCTCCCATATACATACAGCTATTTTCATCAGTGTTATCATCTCAGTTTAAGCGGAATTTCTGCATAATTTCTGCCTGATTCAGTGTGAGATTTAAACAGAGTCATTTAGAGGAGTTTGATGTAAAATGTTTAAGTATAGAAAAACAGCCCTATATTTTCTTTACAGTGGTCTTAGCAAACAGGGGTTGCAGTGTCTATGATGCAAATACAGTGTTTATTTACTATCCAGAACCACCAGTGAACCTACACGTCCTCAGATTATACATGATGTCAATAATGATAACATAGCTGTAAATTTGGTTTTGTTTGTTTACTGTCTTTGTGTAAGACTCTACGTGTACCTCTCCACCCTGAATTTATTTTAAAAATAAAATCTAAAAAAAGGTTATAGGCCAAAATCATATCCTAAAATATTTGTAAATAGTGTCTCAGCCATTAAGCAATGTATTCTTTACCATTTCGCCTAATATCTTTCTGTGCGGTAACATTAAAAGGCTTCAGACGTCTGGTTCCTGTCACCACCACTGTGAACAATTCTGAAAAACATAGCACTTGTTTTTTTTTTTAATAATGAGGCATTGGGTACCCTCATTTATAATTATCCAAAGGCAGGACTACATCACAGTTGGCCTGGATTTTCTTATATAAACATCATGTACCAACAAAGATGTCATGTTCTTACCCTTTCTATGTTTAATGATGAGGAACTGCCTAAAAATAGATCCCAAACTTGAGTCTGAAGAATGCAGATGTGTCAGTGTTGCTTAACAGATAGAAAACAGCTCTGGATGTCAGTTCAAAAGAGAGTTCAATTTATTTTCAAACAATTGCAAATAGTCGCAAATAATGAACGTGATATTTTTGACTCTGGATGTCTGTGTTAGCAGCGTGTGTATTTGCAGAATGTAACACTTTAGAAAAAAAAAGGTATAAAATGTGACCTGTGCAAAAGTTATGGAACATTTTACAACCCTGTTTCCAAAAAAGTTGGGACGCTTGCAAAATGTAAATAAAAACCTAATGCAATGATGTGCAAGGCATTTAAAACCAGTACAAAGATAACATATCAAATGTTGAAACTGAGAAATTTTATTGTTTCATATATGCCCATTTTGAATTTGATGCCAGCAACACGTTTTAAAAAAGTTGGGACGGGGGTCTGTTTACCACTGTGCTTCATCACCTCTTCTCTTAACAACACCCTGTAAGCGTTTGGGAACTGAGGAGACACTGCTGTAGTTTGGAAGTAAAATGTTTTCCCACTCTTGCTTGATAAAGGATTTCAGTGAAGTGTTTCTGAGCCCATGCAGTGATTTCCTCTACAGAATTATATCTGTTTTTAATGCAGTTCCTCCTGAGGGCCCAAAGATCACGGCCAGCAAATACTGGTTTTTGTCCTTGTCCCTTTCATACAGAGATTTCTCCACATTCTCTGAATCTTTTAATGTTATTATGTACTGTAGATGATGAAAAGCAAAAGTTCTTTCCTATTTTATGTTGAGAAACGTTGTTCTTGAATTGTTGCACTATTTGATTGTGCAGTCTTTCAGAGAGTGATGAACCCCTCCTCATCTTTATCTCTGAGAGACTCAGCCTCTCTGAGATGCTTTTTTATACCCAATCATGTTACTGACCTGTTGCCAGTTAACCTAATTAGTATTAGGTATTTTTTTTTTTAGCATTAAGCAATTTTACCAGTCTTTTGTTGCCCCTGTCCCAACTTTTTTGAAATGTGTTGCTGGCATCAAATTCAAAGTGGCCATATATTTTTTAAAAAACAACAAAATTTCTCAGTTTCAACAATTGACATGTTGTCTTTGTACTATTTTCAGTTAAATATATGATTCAGATGATTTGCACAGCATTGCAATCTTGTTTTAATGACATTTTGCACAGCGTCCCAACTTTTTCGGAAACAAGGTTTTATATTTGATGTTTTAAAGCAAATAAATAGAAACTGTGCAGTAAAATTAGCACAGAAATACCAAATTTACATTTGTTCTCTATGGGGGATATGTTATTTTCAACACAGTTAAACATTTTAATTTTACTGGAGGTGTTACAAATTTTGCATATGAGTATATAAAACTGATAAAAAGTTTTGATGAGTTACGATTAAAAACATTTATAAAAAGGGTAAGATTAAGTGAGTCATAATTACTGGTGTATTGTTATCTGCCTTGTGGTTTTTGCAGCAAAAAGGAGTGCGGATATTTGTGATGCTGTATAAGGAAGTGGAACTGGCCCTAGGAATCAACAGTGAATACAGCAAAAGGACTCTGCTGCAGCTCCACCCCAACATCAAGGTAAAAGCAGAGAGAGAGTTAATAAGGCCAGAGACGAGGAGAGCAAATAAAAGATGAAAAAATGACAAGAAAGGAATATGAGAGAGGAATATGATGTCCTCCTTCCGCAGGTGATGAGACATCCTGACCATGTGTCATCCACTGTCTACTTGTGGGCTCATCATGAGAAGATTGTGGTTATTGACCAATCAGTGGCCTTCGTGGGCGGCATTGACCTGGCGTATGGGCGCTGGGACGATCGGGAGCATAGACTGACCGATATTGGCAGTGTGACCAGAACTCTAAACACTTCTGCAGAGGTGAGTCACATCTAGAATCAGAGCCAGGGGTGTAAATCTTAACCTCATGACAATTCAGGTTTGATTCTTTAAATCTCAAATTTCTAAATAATTTTATTTGATTCAGTTATTTTGGTACCATTTAGATTTTTTTTTAAAATAAAAATGTCACTGGAGGAACTATTTCCACAGTTACCAGGCAATGAAAACAATACACCAATCTTTACTTTCTCAGCACTTTTATTTTCAGTTTTCACATTTCAAAAATACATACTTTACGCATGCGTTATTGAATGTTATTATAATTAATTACAATCCATTCTAACGTTACAAATCTGAGTTTTGTAGTTCCTATGTAGGAGTTCGAAATTCACCGGAATTTGCTGTGGTGGTCACTCTAAACTAATCTTGCTCTCCTCTGCAGAATGTGGGGGAGGCTTCTCCTACCATGGCTGCGCCTTCAAACGGTCCAGGTCCGCCTCAGAATGGTAAAAGCTCAGGCTCAGAGTCAGTGGAGCAGCCCAAGCTGAAGGGCTATGGGAAGAACAAGAGAAGTCGCTTCAGTATCCGTAAGCACCTGCAGAAACACGGCCTGGCCCCTGCCGACAGCGTGAGCAGCATAGACAGCTCAGAGGAAAGTAAGTTCAGCTTTATCATGACATGATGCAGCATGTAAACATATTCAATCTGCACAAGCAGTTGTCAAGCATCTTTTCAGCTCAGGCCTTCTTAATACTGATATCGCACAGGACAATATGCAAATAGCCCTTTATCATGCTACTGCATTCTTTATTTATATGTTGTTAGCATCCTCAACAGTCCCATATCGTGCAGCCTTAACTGTGTAGAGTGCTGTGAAAAGAATTTGCACCCTTCCTTTTTTTGTTTTTGCATATTTGTCATATTTTTTTGTTTCAGATTGTCAAACAAAAGGCAGCCTGAGTAAACACAAAATACAGTTTCTAAATGATCATTTCATTTATTGAAGGAAAAAACGTATTCAGCAATTACTGGCCGTGTGTGAAAAAGTAATTGCCCCCTTAGTTAATCAACCAGTTAACCAAATTTAGTTGATAACTGGGATCAATTCAACGAGACACACCATGGTTTAAACTAAGCATCACTTAAATAGAATCTTCCCATCAGTGTGAAAAAGGTATAGCACCAAAAAGGCTTCTGCTGTGGTTGTGATGCTTCTAACAGTAGAACCCTTTTTGGTGCTATGTAAAACCATTTTCAAAAACTTCACCAAGGACCATTTAAGCATGAAATCCTTTTTCTGTACTAAAGAACCCTTGAAGAAACATCTTTTTTAGAGTGTAATTTATGGGAAACTGGGTGGGTCCCAGTTATGAGATAAGAAAATCCTCACCATTCTGAGTAAGTCTGTTGTGGGTCTGAACAGTTCCTGTAACTTGTGAGTCATACTAGAGATACTATAATGGCAGCCTTTCCTGGAAGGGCATTTTTTAATCAGTTCTTCTTTTTAAATGTATTTTTAAATGGCTTTCTTTACTTGACCTTATATGAGAAGAATGGCTTAACATGTATACTGTATTTGCAAATCCAATTCCAAAAAAGTTGGGACAGTAAGTAAAATGTGAATTAAACAAAAGTGGTGACTTGCAAATCCTTTTTGACCTATATTCAGGTGAAACCATACAAAGACAAGATTTAATGTTTCAGCTAATTCACTTAATTTGTTTATTATCTGTACGCTTATTCTAAATTTGATGCCTGCAACATGTTCCAGAAAAGTTGGGACGGGCATTTTTACCAGTGTGTTACATCACCTTTCCTTTTAACACTGTTCAGTAATCGTTTGGGAACTGAGGTCACCAGTTGTTGTAGTTGTGAAAGTGGAATTTTTCCCATTATTGCTTGATATATAATTCGGGGTCTCGACAGTCCAGGGTCTTCGGACACGTTGTTAATGGGAGACTTGGCGTTGACTTGTGAAACAACCTGGGGCCTGAAAAAGACGTCATCTAGATGGCAGCATACGTTGCTCCATAATGCGTATATACCCCACAGCATTAAAGGGGCCTTCACATATGTGTAAGTTACCCACTAACACACCCCCATACCATGATAGACAAGGGCTTTTGAACTTTGCATTGACAATCTGAATGGTCCTTTTCCTCTTTACCCTGGAGAACACGATTTCCATTATTTTCAAAACATTTTGAAAAGTGGACTCGTCAGACCTCAGCACAGGTTTCCGCTTTGCATCAGTCCGTCTCAGATGAATTTTACCCAGCAAAGTCAGCGGTGTTTCTGGATGTTTTTGATGCATGGCTTCTGTTTTGTGTTGTCTTAACTTGTCTTAACTTTCTTGAGTTTTAACTTGCATTTGTAGATACAGCGAAGAAGTGTGTTTACTGACAATAGTGTTCTGAATTTTTACAGAGCCCATGTGGTTATATTTATACAGAAGCATGTCATTTTTTAACACCGTGCCATCTGAGGGATCGAAGGTCACAGGCATTTCATAGTGGTTTTCAGCCTTGCCCTGTACGCACAGAGATTTCTCTCAGATTGAGAAATGCTGTTTTTAAATCATTCTCAAACGACTTTCGTGAATGCTCCTTCTATACCCAAGCATGATAGCATCACCTGTTACCTATTCACCCGTTTACCTGTGACATGTTCCAAAACAGGTGTTTTTGATCATTCCACAAACTTCCTAGTCTTACACAGCCCCTATCCCAACTTTTTGGACTTTGTTGCAGGCATCAAATTAGGAATTCGTGTATATTTACAAAAATCAAAAATCGATTAAATACCTGTAAAAAACAGTTTGCAAATCACTGCTGTTTTTATTTGCGTTCCCATCTTTTTTGGAATCAGGGTTGTATTTGAGGACCCAACATTGTATGCATGGCTGCCCTTTTCTGCAGGTTATTCTAACAGTATTTGCAGCCAACAGAATTTGATTCCACTTAAATGGATGGAGTTGAGGGTGCCTATACCCTCTTGTCTATGTCAGGCTGGTGAGTGAGGAGTGTGATGATTTTAGGAGCTGCTGTGTGTTTCCTGTGAACCCTGTCCTAAGTGCTGATCCAGGATCCCCTTTCAGTTAATGCAACCATAATTACTGCTCTCTATTACTATTTTTTAAAATTTAGAACTTGATCCCTGATCAGCACAACAGGGAACATTCTCTTTAAGCACAGTGTGCTTTGATGTACTCAGAACTTAAAGGAATACTCCAGCGTTCTCAACCTATTCTCTGTCTGCCGCTTCTATAGCATAACGTTGATTACCATGGACAATACTGATTAGGTACACAGAAAAGAACATAAAACATCTTGACTTGATACACACTTATAATAGAAGCCAATGGGCAGTTGAATTTTACTGAATTTTAGTTTACTGAATCAGTAAACTTTTAAATTCAAATCACATTTTTCTACAACACTTTCTTTAATTATTTATATCTTTGATTTGTAAAAAAGTTAAACTGTATAATTTGTCCTCTCAGTTGTGGTAATATGTTACCAGCGTAAAGGTTTGGGTGGAGTTTTCACAATCTCCGGCCTGCTGAAAATTTCATGCAACTAGTTTCATGCTCTGATTTGCATGCAACTTGAGAGTTTCCCGCAACACATTGTTAGTCCACTAGTCAAATTGGCAGCTATTATTTTTGATACATTGCATCATTCTCGCTGTTTAACATCTGCGAGGTGTTTTTTGCATATTTGCAGCATTTTTGTCATCTTCACATAATTTTTCCAGTGGCATTGTGATTTTTTTTTCCCTTTGTTTCTGTCTTATATTTATCTATGATTCTTTGTTGTACATTTTAACTTTTAAATCTATTGTGTAAATGTCAAACCTTTACATCACAGGTTCGTAGAGGAGCACATCTCAGTCTGTAGTAATTTTCACTCTTTGGTAGCCAAAACAGTCTGAGCATTGTGTAAAATTAGGGAGGTGCCCAAAACAGAGGAATTTAGTAATCTAGCTAAATAAATCATGATAATAGCAGGCTAGCAGAGAGGCAGCTGTTCTGTCTTCTGTTTTATTTTATTGTCCATAGATCTGGGAAATCCGTCATTTAAAATGATCACCTGACTCATTATCAACTTTCATGAAACTTGTTCCACAGTGTTGAGACACTTGCAGCTGAGTTTCAGCTGAGATGCAGGACACTTATATTATGTGTATATATATATATATATATATATATATATATATATATATATATATATATATATATATATAATATATGATATTGTGCAACTCAGCAAATCAGTTCTATGTAGGTTTCAAGTAGGATATGCATGAGTGCTCGGTTAACTGTGGGAGGTGCAATTATTTGAATGCTGATATCGGTATTTAGGTACCTCATTCCTTTTCATCACTGGAAGATGGAGAAAGCTATACAGACTAACATTTCAATGAAACACTGCTTTTATGTTTTAACAGGACTGTACAATATTAGAGTTTTGCTTATATCTCACACTTGCCGGGTCAATCTGTAACAGGAGTGCCTGAACATGAGAGTGTTGCCTTGGACTGAGGAGACGTCAGAGGCTGCGCGGCTTTATTGCTAACTAGACAGCTGGTTCTACAGACAAAATAGATATCTCTGACAAACTTTCATGATAGCAGGTAGCTGAGGATGCAGATTTTGTCCTAAATACTTTTTTGTTTTTCTGTTTTTTCTTTCTTTGTGATTAACCAGAAGTTCAGTGTCAAGCAACTAAAGTTGTCTGGAAGTTTCACCATGTAAAGCCAGCCTTATGGAAAAACTAAACTACATGAACTGCTTTTTTTCTGCGTTGTACCATTGTAAGAATGTAAAGGTTGCTGTTTCGAGTTTCAGCAACTGCCCTGTCACTTCCACTATAAACACCGTTCAAGTCAATTAATGTTCAGTTCTTTTCTAAATATGTGAAAAAACAGCAAATTTATTTTCATAGAAACTGACTGCATGTTTCAGAAGCAGATAGACATTAGATTGTAAAACTCTGAAGTATTCCTTTAAGCAGAAATGAGTTTTGCTTACTTTCTTCTAGTTAAGTTAGACATTTATGAATTGTGGCATTTCTGTCAGCCTCTGTTGCCTCCAAACTTCAGGGGAAGATTTATGAGTCATTTTGTCTTTCAGAGGCAGCACTGCCCCATTGTTTTTGCCTGCCTTTGTGATCCATCTCACTGTACTGTCTTCCAGCACTCAGCCACAGGGCTGTAAAAGCTGATTGATGGTGTTTTTGCTTGGTTCTGGATTGCATGGGTTGCCTGAGCATTTTATCTCAAGGATAAAAGGTTTGTTCTTCTGTGTTTGTGTATAATCTGTCTTTATTTCTGAATCTTTGTTGTTTTCTTTCTTCCTTAGAGGCAGAATCAGCGCAGGATCTGCAGGCTGATGTCATCGGCCTGATGGGGAATACACGGTTCTGGCACGGCAAAGACTACTGCAACTTTGTCCACAAGGACTGGATCCAGCTGGATAAACCATTCGATGGTAAATAACCTCTTTTTATCCTGATTATTCATAATGTATTGGGTGAAAGCAATGAGGTTAATAAACGTGATGTGGATAAAACATGCTGTGGTTACCAAGCAACATAACAATTCAAGGGCATAGGAGTAACTTGTAAAGTGGGGGGACACTTTAATGTTGGGGGGTCCAGGATTTGATCTTAACATTAAAAGTGAACAATCTCAACATGAACATAAAATTCGTGCTGTGCTTTAATTACAGCACCAATTTAATAACAGAAACATACTTTTTCATTGTATACCAGAGCTTATATCTGCAGATATAACAGAAACCCATTTTCCACATCAAACAAAAAGTCAATGTAGTTATTTTGCTTAAAGGACCCATTTCCTACATTTTTTCACTCAGAAAGTGTGTGGATTTATCCACCAAAATCAGTTGCAATTCGTTTTTACATGACCATTTTCTACCTTGTCTCTCTTAGAACTAACAGGCAGTTTTGGTTACTGTGCCTTTAAGACTGATGTATGTAAATGAGCTCTGCTGTTGGCCAAATAGGTTAATATTTGTTCATTTTTGTGACCTCACAAAACAAAAAAAAAATTAAAATAAGCTGTTTTTGCAGCGCAGTTGACACACTCATATGCTGTATGGACTGGGGAGAGAATGGCACATTTTGAAACTTAAGCAGTGTTTACATACTACACTTTTTTACTTGTAAAAATGAGGAAAATTTGATTTTCAATTATATTTACATTCAAATATATAATATATATAATATTTTATATATAATATTATATTAAATATATAATATTTTTGTTAAAAAGCACATTGTATTTGTTTACCTCCTGCCCTTTTTCTCACTTTTGATTAATCAGTTGTTTCAAGCCTAAAGACATATTATTGCAGAATGTGTGTAGCACAAAACGTTGAAGTTTTTGGTACCGCTTTATATGGATGGTCCACTGAAGATGCTTTGTAGATGCTCAGTCTGTCTTTTAGGGGGCAGTCATGGGCTGGAGGTTAGGGAACCAGCCTTGGGAAGGTCGTCGGTTCGATCCCCGGGCGCTGTGGATAGGGCTGCTCACTGCCCCCCAGTGTGTGTGTTCACTAGTGTGTATGTGGTGTTTCGCTGCACGGATGGGTTAAATGCGGAGGTTAAATTTCCCTGTTGTGGGACTAATAAGGGTTACTTAACTAACATTCAACTAAATATCCATTAAATGCAACAGAACTTGAAATTGTGTGTGAAAGGTTCTATTAACCCTAAACCTAACCTCAAGGCAAAACTTACACCTACTCCTAAATCTAACCCTAACCTTAATATTGTTGATAATCGACTGAGTATCACCAGAAAGTTTGTTAATAACATAAGTATCTGTGGATCATCTGTAAGGGACCAACCAAATAAAGTGTGACCAAGTTTTTGTTTGACAAAAACCATTTACAGATTTTTTTGTTTTGATATGTTAATTCAATTCAAATTAATTTTAGTTTTTATTTGTTTTCATTGTTTATTTTACCTTGCTCGACGACTTATTCTGTAGATGTGTGCTGCTGCCTAGCTGCTCAAGCAGGATTTGTGAACGCTCCAAACTAACATGAGCACAAAAATGAAATACCAGATGTAGTATGCATGAAACAGGCCAGGGTCAGATCCATTCCCTTCTTCCTGAAGAAAATCTGAATACTTTTCATTCTTTCTCTGTTTCCTTCCCTGCAGCCTTTTCACTGTGGTTTGGTGGGTTAGATATTTTTGATTCGGTTGTGGCCTTAAGCATTTTCATTTCCTACTTCAGGAACAGTTTTTGTAACAGACCATACATGTTTAATCATTTTCAGTTTTGACACATTAAACACAGATACTGCATTTGAACTTGGAAACAGGCAACAAATAGAACCAATAAAAGTGGGTGGGGTGTTTAGGAGGGAAATGGAATATAGTTGATGTGTTTGGTCATGTGAATATTGAGTATTTATATATTAACACCACAGAAGCTGAGTCAGCCAATCAGACCTCAGAATCAGAGCTATCCGTTTTATAATTAGCGTTGTATCAGTTTGTCTATCCTGCAATTACTGATCTCTGATAATGTCTGTATTTGCTTACTCAAAGTACCTCTTTAATGCACTACTCTTTCAGACTTCATTGACAGGCATATCACTCCCAGAATGCCTTGGCATGACATTGCCTCAGTGGTTCACGGAAAGGCTGCCAGAGATGTTGCGCGGCACTTTATTCAGCGCTGGAATTTTACCAAGGTGACAAACCACAACTATCAGCTCTGATACTGTTTCATCTCACACACTTCACTTGACTTGTTTCTAAACCACGGAAATCCCTCAGATGATGACTTTAACCTTTTTTTTTCACTCTTAGATCATGAAGCCGAAGTACAGGTCCCTCTCGTACCCATACCTCCTCCCCAAATCCCACTCTACTGCTAATGAGATCAAATACCAGGTCCCAGGCTGCATCCCTGCTAATGTTCAGGTAATACAGGCTGTCACAGCTTTAGACTCACATGCACTGTGAGATATATTTTTTATTTACATACAGTCTACGTGAGAGTTTTGGACACACCTGGTTGTGTTTTTTTAGTGGTGTCAAAGTTAAAGCACTAAATTATTAACACTGAATTTTTGCTTTGACTCCGTAACTGCAGCCCTACAGTCTACATTTTTTAAACCTTACAGTTTTTAAATGGAAAGAAGATCCATCAGTGGCTCTCTTACTAAAACCAAAGTTATTCCAGCTACTGCCATTGTGCATTTATCCCTGAAGGACATAAGCAAAACACAGCATTCATGCCAAAAATATCAGTAATATCAGTAACTTTAGCACAGAAGGACACATTCAGCAGACCACACTGGTCAGTGCTTGCTTGAGAGCTATGGATTAATCAGCAAACAGCAAACTGACAAAAGCAATAGCAAAGTGAAAAGCTACAGTTCTTCTCAATACAAGATGTGACATATGAGAGCAATAGGCTACAATCACAGAGGAGTTGTAACCTGCAGCCACTGTTGATTTCACTGGCCATCAGTGATAAAAATTAAAATGGAAAAGAAATCATATTTAGGGATAAATGTAAACAAATAAGACAAATTTGATTAATCTTGATTAACTACACAAAATACATTTTCTAAAAAGATTTTTCAGGCTCATATTTTTCATAATATTAAAGACAATTTAATCTAAAGCTTGTGATTAAATACTTGAATTGATAGTAAAATGGATCCCAAGATAAGAATTAATTTACAAAATTAAAAATAAATAAATAAATAAAAAGTATTTTTAGCAATGCACCGCCAACAAATACTTCCCAGCAGGCAGCAAGTGCTCAGCATGTGCTCAGAAAGCTGACTGAGGGAAAGCCAAGAGTGTGCAAGGCTGCATCAAGGCGAAGGAGAGGCTACTTTAAAAAATCTATAATATAAGATTTTTTTAAAACACTTTTTTTGGTCATTCTAGATGTGTTATTTCATAATTTATATGCCTTCACCATTTTTCTATACTGTCTAAAAGTACAAATAAAGACCGTTCAGTAGGTGTGTCCAAATTTTTGACTGGTCCTGTTCATTAAGAGCATTTGTAAAGTCTGGCCCTTCTCACCCCCCTCAGGTGTTGCGGTCTGCTTCAGACTGGTCAGCTGGTATAAAGCACCACGAGGAGTCCATCCACAATGCCTACGTCCATGTGATCGAAAACAGCAAACACTACCTCTACATCGAGGTGAGCCTTTCTGATCGAGCAACGTTTACGAGTATGATTTATTATATTTGACATGATCTTGATTTTGTGTTATGTGGTGCATTAAGTATGATCACTGTTGCTTTTCAGAACCAGTTCTTTATAAGCTGTGCTGACAACAAACTTGTCTACAACAAGATTGGTGACGCCATTGCCCAGCGGATCATCAAAGCATACCGGTTAGCTGAGTGTCAAACCTGTCTCTCATGCTCACCTTTAGCCTAGTTTATGTCAGGAAAACCATGATGATGGAAATTACGCAGCCCTGTTAGTCATAAAACCAGGAGCACTTACTCACATGCTCACATCTACAAACACACACAGGTTCAGGACAAGGGTTCATATGGGTCCTGTATGTATTGTATGTATCACATACACTATATGGACAAAAGTATTGGGACACCTGCACGTTACACCTACAGGAGCTGTTATGACATTTCATTCTAAATCCATAGGCATTAATATGGAGTTGGTCCCCCTTTGCAGCTCTAACAGCTTCCACTCTTCTGGGAAGTTTTCTACAAGATGTTGGAGAGAGTCTGTGGGAATTTGTGCCCGTTCATCCAGAAGAGCATTTGTGAGGTCAGACACTGATGTTGGACGAGAGGGCCTGGCTCACAATCTCCGTTCTAGTTCATCCCAAAGGTGTTCAGTGGGATTGAGGTCAGGGCTCTGTGAGGGCCAGTCAAGTTCTTTCACATCAAACTCACCCAGCCAGGCCTTTATGGACCTTGCTTTGTGCACTGGGGCTCAGTCATGCTGGAGCAGAAAAGGTTCTTGCCCAAACTGGAGCAAAGTTTGGAGCGTACAGTTGTTCAAAATATCTTGGTCTGCTGAAGCATTAAGATTTCCCTTCACTGGATCTAAGGATTCTAGGCCAACATCTGAAAAACAGCCCCATATCATCATCCCTCCTCCACCAAACTTTACAGTTGGCACAATGCAGTCAGGCAGGTAACATTCTCCTGGCATTCGCCAAACCCAGACTCGTCCATCAGACTGACAGATAGAGAAGAGTGATTCGTCACTCTGCAGAATACATTTCCGCTGCTCCAGAGTTCAGTGGCGGCGCTTTACACCACTCCATTCGCCACTTGGCACTGTGCTTGGTGATGTAAGGCTTGCATGCAGCTGCTCGACCATGGAAACCCATGCAATGAAGCTGTTAAAGCCAGAGGAGGCTTGGAACTCTGCAGTTACTGTGTCAGCAGAGCGTTGGTGACTTTTATGCTCCATGCTCCTCGGCACTCTGCGACCCGCTTTGTAGCTTGACGTGGTCTGACACTTCATGGCTGAGTTGCTGTGGTTCCTAAACGCTTCAACTTTTCAATAATACCACTTACAGTTGATTGTGTAATATCTAGGAGGGAAGAAAACTTGTTGCAACAGTGGCCTCCCATTACAGCACCACACTTGAATTCAGTGAGCTCTTTAGAACGACCCATTCTCTCGCAAATGTGTGTAAAGGCTGACTGCATGGCTAGGTGCTTGATTTTATACGTCTGTGGCAGTGGCACTGAATGAAACACCTGAATTCAGTGATTAAGAGCTGTGTCCCAATACTTTTGTCCATATAGTGTATAAATGCACACCCCTCACCAAGGGTAAAATGACTGTATTGCACAGCTTAAGTTACTTATTGCTTTTATACAACGCCTACAACATAAAATATGATGAAATACTTATTGTAATTAAAATAGTTTTTGCTCACCAAATTACCACCACATCAATTATGCTAATTTCCGCTTGAGGCTAACAGTGCCACGCATTCATTTTCCTACATAATCAACTCTGCTTGAGGCACATCTACCAAACGTGAACATTTGAAGCATGTAATTCATTCAAGTAACACATCTAACATTTTACTTTTTATATTGCAGTTTTACTTGTTTACCCAATCTTTTGATAAATATTTCAAGGCCTCAAAATAAGTTCTCAGCTCCTCAGTTTGAACAAAACTGGGTTCTAACTTCATCCACCAGTGCACTTGGTGGTCCATGTGAGCAGCAGAACAATCCTTTCACAGCACAGTTGTTCTCAGTGATGCATTACTACAACATTCAGCTGTTGTGAGTTGTTCTTATTCATGCGTATATTTGTATTTTACAACAGCTTCAAATGCAGCTGAGCCAGTCAGATTTCAGGATTGGATATTTTTTAAATATATCTAAGTACTTACCCCAAAACACAAAAGAAAATTGAAGCATAACTTTGCAAAGTAAGTTTTCCTACACAGTCAGGAGATTTTTGTTCTGAAAAACATGGAAACAAACTCATGCACAGACACACACACACACACACACAGTGAGCTCACACTTATAAAACGGCACCATGCTTGGACTCATTGCTGTTGTGCTTGGCTTCAAGACTAGTTTCCATTCTACTTTAGGTACATAATGTTCAGCCCAGAGGGAACAACTGCCTATGAATTCAAGGCGGCATTGAAAATGAAAGCAGTAAAACAGGACTGTTTTCACAGAAAAAGCCTAAACTCCCTCTTAGTCCTTTTCTTTTTTTATTCAAATCAACAGGGAGGGTAAGAAGTATCGTGTATATGTGGTCACTCCTCTCCTGCCTGGCTTCGAGGGAGATATCAACACAGGAGGAGGGAGCGCCCTCCAGGCCGTCATGCACTTCAACTACAGGTAACTGTGAGATTAAGGCCAAAGGTCATCAGTTCTGTGTCAGTGTCTGCACACATCCTGACAAGTAGTGAGTTAGTCTGCAGCTTTTAGGTCAGGATGTTGGAGAACGCTGAGGAAATTCAGCTACTCAGCAGAATTCCAGTCAGGTCCGGAATTAAATACTTGGAGTATCAGTTAAACCAGAAAAACATTCCTAGTGCATTTATTAGACTGTTAGTACTCTATTACAGGGAAAGCTTTGTTTCAGAACAAAGAACACCGTTAAACGTATCCCTGTGGGTACCCTGGCGTCTCCGCTGTGGAAGTTGTATTTAATGTGAAATTTCAGCAAATTTTCAAAATGTTTGCCTAACTTAGTTGCTGAGATGGAGGCAAAATCATTGTAGAGAAACATACAGACTCACAGTGTCTACAACACAAATAAAGCCATTTTATGTGCTCTCCGAAACAACCAGTGAACCGACACGTACTGAGATTTTATATGTAATGTTGATAAAGGTTATATAGTGGTAAATCTGAAAGATAATGTTTTCTTGGGGGGTTCTTTTGCCGTGCATGTACCCCTCCACCATGAATAGATATAAAAAAATGTGTTTAAGGCCAAAACCTAATTGCAAAACTATCATAAAACAGTGTCTCAGGCATCAGGGAGCACTTTCATAACCATTTGTGAGGCATTCGGTGCTTCAGACGTCTGGTTCCTGTCACCACTGCTGGCTTGACAAGATTCTGTAGAATGGAGCATTTCACATTAAACCACTCTGAAAGACTTTGTTTACATCTTAACGATTTAATGTGTAGACATTTTAAAAGATCGCTGGAATTCCTCTTTAAATGATCGCCCAAAGTCTGTTGTGGGTCATAATGAGATTTAATGAGATCAGTATACAAGGTGACAAGTATACAATCTGACAAGTGAGAGGGACCAACATGGAGAGACTATAGCCTACATACACTGCTAGCATCACATATGAATATCAGATTTCATTCATTTCAAACAAAATTATCAACCGAAAATACATGTGTATATGTTTTCTAGTGTAGATAGATAATAATCGAATAATGATGATACAAATAAAAAGCAGTGAAATTAGCTGTTCGGCTACCTGCTAAGTGACAGCTTAGAGTGCACATGACATGTTTTCTCTTTCGCAGTTGCCTTTTGTTTTGGCTTGCAGTGACAACTCAATGTGATTGGTGTGGGAGATAATTTTAAAACGTGGGGGAAACAAGCTTCTGGTGCCCCCATAGGCCCCTATGAAAAAACAGCTATTAGGACTATGCTGATACATTTATACTGTGTAGGCTCTAAATGTATTTCCTTAATCTTAAATTTAAAAAATGTGTTATTCTGCACGCTAGAGAAGTGTTTCTTATCTCTAGGTTAGAATGTGCAGATTCCATAGACATGCAGGTCTTCAAAATGCAAAATACTGAGGTGTGGCTTGGGGCTCTAACAGTAGAAGCATATGAAGTGATGTGGTTCCATGAGCTTTATTAGACGTCAGACATTTGAGGTTTATTGCTCTAAAATTTCTGTGCTATTTTCTCTGTGTTTTCAGAACGATGGTTAGAGGAGAATGTTCCATCATATCCCAGCTAAGGAAAGAGAGTAAGTCAACTGCCAGTACTTAATGATGTGTGTCTTTTTCTTTGGCAATCCAGGAAAATCCAACCCATAAACTTTTTTCTTTTATGTTTATGAGAAAAGACTCTAATGTCAGACTCTTTTATTATTAACGCTTAGCTGTAAAATGCAACTTTGGAGGTCCTTCAGTTCAACTATGCAATATTCTTTTTCTTCAGTAATACTGATGGAATGCATTTTCATGTCTGAAACATAAGGAATGAGGTTTTTGTCTTTATAGGCGAGCAAGCATGTACAAAAGTGTTTTACTGTGGTATTATCATTTTAGTATCATTGTTTCATATGAAGACTGCAGTTCTGCTGCAGTTTTTTGTGTAGAGGTGTGAATTGTACGGGGCCCTGCTGGTGACATCCTGTGTGAATAAAAATAATCTGTGGCCACGCTGTATGAAGGCATGGGAACAAGATCATGCCTTATTAAGCTATAGGCTTAATCATCTCATTCCCACACCTTACTAAGTCATGGTCACACATTAGGACCTCACTCCCACGCCTTACTGAGTCGTGGCCACGAGTAAATTATCTCGTTCCATGCATTATTTTTATTTATACAGGATGTCACCAGCAGGGCTTCGTAGAGTTGTTTTCACAGTGGGGGGGTTCTCACCGCTCCTGTTTCACCCCTCATTGCTCACTAGCAGCTCAACAGAGTCACAACATTTGATGCACAGAGAGCCAACTGTCCTAGTTAATCTGATAGCAGAGTTATGGGGAAAATATTTTATTTCATTAGATAAATTAAAAACAACCGAGTCACTTTACGTTCTGCTTGAATGGCCACTAGGGGGCCTGCAGAAAGAGCTTAACTCATCACTGTCCAACACCTACATTTTGAATAAGAAAAAATAAGACAGAACTTGTTCTGATTGATTTAAAGTGATGAATGGTTTGTGTGCTTGTACCTAAGATTATCCATTAAAATTTCAAAATTCAAATAACATCAAAATTACATTTTCATACTTTTATTCACAATCAGATTTGAGTTGTGTATTGTTTTGTTATAAAGGGCCCCTATTACCAAAAGGCTGAATTTAATATGCCAACTATGGTTTAAAAATAGCTTATTAGCAATATAGTTTGATAATTTTCCAAAAATTCTTCAGATTTGTGCTCAAACAAGGTCAGAGAACACATGAACCAAAGGAAATTTTACAGTTCAGATATGAAGTTAGCTTATTTCAAATGGTTTGGTCCGTTGGCATGCCTACAGGGCAACAACACTCTATAGGCAATAGCAGAGAAACAAGAACTTCCTGTTATGTAACCTGCTGTGTTACTCAAGCAGGCTGCAACCATGGCTCTGTGCAGATGACCATAAATGTACATCAAGTAGCTGGGCAGGTTTCCTGCACAGCTGCACTAATCTACAGTTTATCGAATGCCTCCTTTTCATTATAATCAGTGTTAAAAATAGCAGTGGTAGTGTGACGCTGTAGAGACGCCTTGTGGCTGTGTAAGGTTACTGATGTTTCTCTGAGAGAAAGAAGTACAAAGTGCCATTTTTGCATATTATCTTCACTCCTCTCCTGTGGTTGTGGTTTCTGGTTATACGTTAGCCGATAAGTGGGATGCACTCCTTGACTCCTGGAAAGAGGCACGAGTGAAGTTTCTCTGTGTGTGAATAATCCAGCAGCCTGCTGGTGTTTTGTTCCACCACTGCTGGAGCTGAGACTTCCCCAGTGTCTAAACCAGCTTGTATACAAAATGTGCTGCATGGATTAAAAATAGTTTGGCCAAAAATCAAATTCACACAGTTTTCACGATGCTCGGTAAGTAGTTGCCAGGATAAGCCAGGACATTTTCAGTACCTGAAGTTTGCTTCTTTATTTTTGCGCAGTACTGGCTCATGTACAATATGTAGGTCAGAGACCACCTTTCATTTATTAAATTTCCAGTCAAAAGAACTGTTTGTACAAGTTATTTATTTATTAGCATCAGAAAAAAAGGAGGAAACATATTTGACAGAAAAGTACACAGAAGCCCCAACAGCTAAACATAACTTTTTCAGTATTTAGTGCGTCCTCACTTTGCATTTGTTACAGCTTCCATTCCTTTCAGGAGACTTGCGTTCAGTTTTTCCAAAAAAAATCTGCAGGGATATTTTTCCACACCTCCAAAGTTCAGTCCTAGGCCCAGTCGCATTTCACCCCTTGCCCCTACCACTCAGCCCTTACCCCTTCATTTTGTACGTTCATGCCTAGGGGTAGGGTGTCCTGATTTTTTATTGAGATAGAGGGGTGAAGTGTTAGGGCTACATGGCCCTCCAAACTGAGGTTTTTGAGAGGCTCACTCTGAAAAACCGGCAAGATGGCTGTGCAAGCGTCCAAGAAACCCTCAAATGTATGTACTTTCTCCATTAAAAATACAATAACCATTGTTTTATCTTAGTTTAGTGTCATTTCAATGTATTATGGTCCTTTTCTTCATGACAAGCATAAAAAATCGCTAGTATGCTGATGTCTCGGTAGCTAGCTAAATTTCCTGTTCCACCTTAAACGGTGCAGCAGTTACATTCTGGCGCCTCAAGCTTCAGATCTGCAGCACCATTTAAGGTGGAACAGGAAATTTCGAACAAAAAGCTGGCAAATATCTGACTTCAGCTTCATATCATTGAGGAAATTAGGGGTGGGTGATAATAAATAATTGCCCTCCCTTTTGAAGGCGTATGATGCCCTAAATGTAACTAAAGCCCAGCAGTGAGGAGCTGAACTTTACCCTCCTCTGCTGTCACTGCAGACTGGCAGGGTCGCCTACAGAGCAGCGCTAGTAGCTGTTAATGAAGTGATGCTCTTTTTATTTGAGGGTCCCATTTCATAGGGAAGATTTCAACCACTACACCTTGTAAGTCAGTTCCAAGGGTTTAGGGTGGCACTTAAAAACAAGGGGTAGGGGTGAAAATAAGAAATGGGACTAGACCTTAGAAGTTGGTTGTATTTTCTGCTTCTCACAATCCAAGCAATCCTAAACACATTCAGTGACGTTGAGGTCTGGACTCTGGGGTGGTCAGTCCATTGTTCTGAGAACAGCAGCAGCTTCTTTGTTTGATGTGTCCATCTCCTTTTCTCAGTGAGGCTTCTTGACAGCTACACATCCTTTCAGACCCATAGCGCTGAGTCGTTTTCTCACCATGGAAGGATGGACAGAAACACCTGTGGATGTTTTCAGATCTGAAGCAGCTTGATTTTCTCCTCTCTCTCAAAGATGAAAGCTTTAAGTGCTGTTTATCTGATGGGGGCAGTTTTGGTGTCTACCAGGCTTTGTGTGTTTGTTAGAAGTTCAACTTTCTCTATAACTTTCAATCATTTTTAAAAACAGTTTTGTAAACTCCATTTTTTTTACTTTGACATTTCCCTTCCTTATGCAAGTGGATTGTTTTATATCTAATGACATCAGAAATATCTCCTGAAAAATGAATCACTTGTACTCAGTGGCCACTCTGACTGGAATACCATTCCAAATAAATGTAGAGCGGTCTCTTACACAGTACTATTGATGGAAGCTTGTAGCCACCAGTTTAGCTTTGGGCAAACTGCTTTACTTATTCTTCATACACTTACCTCAAACTATATAGAATTGTTAAGGAATCTGAGTCTTGATGTTGACGTTTACTGTTGTATGGTGTACTGTTATCTCTGCCTGGGGATGTTTAAGAGCCAGAGCTGCACTGTGGAGCCACCACACACAGAGCAGGAGAGGCGATAATGTGTCAGTGTGTAGTACGGCATTTATTAGAACCCCTGCTGTGTTCCACAGAGCAATTAAAGGCTTTTGAGGTGATGGCTATTTTAGGAATAGCTAATTAGCTGGGCATTCATAAATTCATGCTACAGTTTCTTTAAAACAGCATAACATTAAAGAAAAACAAGTTTGTGGAAGCTCAAAAAGACCCTCAGTTCGAGGGAAGTAATATTAAGAAGTCAAAAATACTGAGATTGCAAGTTTATTAAAGTAAATGAGGAATTTTCTAATTCCCTCCCTGTCTGCTCAGGAAAACTGAGTGATTTTTGGCAAACTGAGTGATCTGTATCAAAATATGATTTGAGATTAACAGACCACGCTGTTTCCATCGTGTTCAGTGGCAGAGCCATGTTTTGCTCAACGTTTTTGCACACAAGGCACCACATTTTATTCGCACTGCACGGCTGCTTTTTGTGACGGGAACAGCTAAAAAGAGTTTATCTTGAAGCGGTCAAGTTATCTACGTCCAGAACGTTTTCTCTGCGCTTGCTTATCAGACGAATGTGAAGGCGGGGCTTCAGTGTCAGTGTATAACCAAATGGGCTAAACTCATCGATATTAAAGATCCAGATTATCATAACATATTCAAATGATGCTGTGTCAGACAGCTCTACCCAGCTTGCTTTTAGCGTGCTCAAAACGCAGCTGACCGGCTGTTGGGCTTGAACACTATTGCTGCTTTCACACGTTCCTGCTATGGGTGCGGCCAGGTCTTCTACGAGTGCCAGCAATCAGCTCATAGCAGACGATTGAGTGTGAGGCCAGTTGAAAAGACAAGAAGATAAGAAACATACAGAAAATACACAAAGCAAAAACCCATCAGATGTAACTGTATGAACAAAATTCAGGCTCCTGGCTGCTAATCTTGTTCTTAGCTGTATAAGTATAATATCCACTTTTATACAGTCATACAGTGTCAGAAACCACATAAGCAAATCTGTTTGAAATTATTAAGCAAGTTTATGAAGATTTAGGCACACGGCTAAGGCTGGTGATTGCTGAGTTATAAGCTTCTTTTACTTTAACTCTGTAGCTCCAGTGCAAAACTGAAAAAGGAAATATGTATTTGAGTTAAGGGAAAGATATGATTTTTGGCCAAACCTATGATTCTGGGCCGTTTCTATGTCTATTGGCCCATCCATCATTAAATTACAGCCCTGAAAATGGCAGCTGGCATTTTTAAAATGCTTTGATGACGCACACCCAGCGCTCTGCGTAATACTGTTTCTCATTCATGGACTCATTCTGGTTCTTTGTGTGTTTTTGTTATTGGTAAGTGCCTTCATTGTCCATGCTTTTTTTGCAGTTTTTCTAGTTCTCAAATGATGAATCCTACATTACACTCAGAAATAAAGGTAGTAAACTGTCACTGGGGCAGTTCCCCTCTTGTCACTGGGGTGGTCCCCTCAAGGGTACATCTCAGTACCTTTAGTCAGGGAACATAGCTGTACCATAATCCACTGAAATGATATTCTCTAAGCTGTACTGACTCCACACACCCCGTCTCGTCTCCAGGCTTTTATTTTATTGTTTTAAAACATTCAGTTATGAAAAGCCTTAATGAACGAAAAATGTACCTGTACAGAACCTTTATTTCTAACAATCTACAATGTTAATTAGCCCTTTTAGTATGATGCAAAAAAGTAGCTGTTGACTGTATCTACACTTTTTCCTTTAATAACCTGATTTATGATGCTGTTGTTGTGTTTATTTCATATGTAAAGAGTGTGATCTGACTGTGCTGAGAATCAGGATAATTTTATTCAGTTTGTGCCACAAACTACAATATTTGAACTGGGAAACACATGAACTGGAATGTAAGTCACACATTAGTAACATTTTTTAACATTTACTCCAATTAAACAAGACAGTAAGCACTTACTAATCTGAACTGGGCTCTGAATAACCTCGCACACTCACTCGAAACCTGGTGCATCCAACAAGAAAGGAAGCCTTGTGCATATTTATACTCATACAAAACTGAGTAGCTCATAGAAAGCTCAGATTCTGTGCAGTGAAATTTGTAAAATGTGGCCAACAGGGACGCGCATATGGCGTAACTCCTCTGGCGGCAGATGTAAACAAGCAGCTTTGTACTTTTTTATGCCCTGCACTGAGCTCGGCTGGTTCATGTGGTGTGTTTGAGTCAGGTGTAATACTTCTGTTGTGATGACTGTTGCATCATGGATTCCTCAGATCTTTCTCTCTCCCCCTCTCTCTCTCTCTCCCTCTCCCTCTCTCTCTCTCTCTCTCTCTCTCTGTTTATGCAGTGGGAGATCAGTGGATGAATTACATCTCTTTTGGTGGTCTAAGGACCCATGCAGAGCTGGAGGGCAAGCTGGTTACGGAGCTGATCTATGTCCACAGCAAGATGATTATTGCAGATGACAATACCGTCATCATCGGTAAGAGGATTCACCACTGAAGCAGTATGACTTTATTATTTTATTACAGGGCTGTAGTTCTGTATGAGGTTATTATGCGAAAGCACTGGAGACTGTTAGAGACACTGAATGTAGAATATACAGCTTTGGTAAATGGTGAAATGGCGCCACCTGCCTTCTTGACATTGTGTTACATCTGCTGCTCCGTTATCTGACACACAGAATGACCCGACTGTCTAGTAATTATGAAAATTAATTTGTTAATCAGTCTGCCGATATAAGCGTCTTTGCTTGGCTAGAGTATCGTCACTGGCGAACGCCCTTCCACAAATTAACTCTGTCATTCTCTTGGCTCCCGTACATGTTTCACACTTGTCTTGCATTTCACTCGTGAAGACAAAACGTTCTTTCTCTTTACTCTTCCAGGCTCGGCCAACATCAACGACCGCAGTATGCTGGGGAAGAGGGACAGTGAGGTGGCTGTCATCTATGAGGACACTGAGACTGAGACGTCCGTCATGGACGGACAGGAGTACCAGGCGGGGCGATTTGGACTGCACCTGCGTCTGGAATGCTTTAGGTAGCTACATGCTTTGTTGGACAGTGAACTCACAGTGCCCCTTCTCAGTGACCACAATTTTTGTAGCCTGAGCCAATAAAAACTTCTCACTTGTTATAGCATTAATGAATCAGTATTATGAAATAATACATTCTATAAAAATATATCAGCCAGCTATGATGCTGGTCAGTTGAAATTTTGCTGAGACATGTTTTTTCGTAGCTTTGCAATGTCCATTTTCAGTGTATGTTCTATATCACAGTGTTGGTTTCAAACCACATTACATAGACAAATCACACTCATTCAGACTGTGTAAACAAGCATATTTTACACCCTGAACAGGATGATTCTGGGAGCTAACACAGACCCCAGCATAGACGTCACTGACCCCATCAGTGACCAGTTCTACAAGGAGGTGTGGATGACCACTGCTGCTCGCAATGCGTCCATCTATCAAAAGGTCAGCTTTTTTTTCCCCATGTATTTCCTGCTTATGTTCTGTGGGATCGGCTAATTATATCCGTTTTCACTGTTATTGTTCTCTGTGACGCATTCGAGCCATTATAATCTAACTAGAGGCCAGTTTCTTGTAGGTACAGTTTCTTCATAAAAACAGACTCTAACGGAACGTGTCCTCTGCACACTTCCGTTCATTTTCAACTGGGAGTAGCGGATAAAACCATGAGGGACTGTGGGACAGCAAGCCCCGAGAATTTGACTCGTCACACAGCGAGAAAAGCTTTGATCGTTTTAGCAAGAGTAATATTCCTGACATTTTCCATACACAAGTATGGACCCAAATAACAAAAGGACAAAATTACAAGAAATCACTGCAGCAACCCTCTTCATTCTTCATGGCGTGATGTAGCTTACTTAGAATGTTTGTCCTCCATATTTATAGGTTAGTATCTTTTGAATAGTACAGTTTAAAATGAGCCTAATGGGTGTCATGTTATTGTACATACACAAAAATTATTTTGTAATAATAGTCATATTAATCATATTAATTAATAAAAATCATATTTCACATAAGTATTCAACCCTTGTGTGGTGTTCAGGTCTGTGGGACCCATTTTCAATGTTTACCAAAATAAAAAATGATGCGATTTATTATTATTTCCACCCCAGATTCTTGGCCTTTGCTCATTTTCTGTGAAGAACATATAAAATAACCCATTTTCAGTATCTTCACTCTGTTCACCCCCTACACATTTACATTACACATGTGGTGTTGGGTGAACCCACGGGGAATAAAAGTGTGGAGGTGCTGTGTCCTTCACTCTGTTCTCCTCCTACATGGCCTGCTGTTAGTGTGTTTATGTGTGTATGTTGTATATGTGTGTGTTTGTGTGTGAGGGTGGACGACAGGCTGCTGACTGGCTACAGCTGCCAAAGGAGAACCCTTCTTGAAACACTTGCGATATTTTAAACATTGGTATTTTTACATAAATTGTGGCTGTATTGATTTAAAAAACAATAATGTGGTGGGTCCACCAGACCACTGAGTAACACACACATCAACACCACACAAGGGTTAATTCAGTAGTTCTGTTTTTAGAACCAACTTCACAAGAGTTTTTACAACCAACTTCACCTCGAGCAGTGAGGGAGCTACTCCTGTTGCGTGCAGTGGGCACTGTAACGTTTTGCATGAAGTGGAAATGACAACACATTTCCAGCTCAGTAAACCTGCATGATTAAGCTTGTTTTTATCATCATTGCGTTATGAGTTTCTGCGATAGACACGTCACAAAGGGCTGCAATAACAGAAGGAATCAAACTACATTACATGTGCATGGAGCCAGAGTGATGTAATTATATCAGAAGGGAATGTGGCATTAGGATCTCTGCCACTAGCGAGTGGTAGTGAGGTTCCCTGAGATGGGGATCAAACCTCACTCCTGTCTCATCCACTCAGCGTTTCAGCCACTTATAAACCACAAACATGCTCAGCTGAACAACTGTACTATAGTTTTATGCTAGCCTACAACACTGAATAGCCTATCACACCTGAAAAAATTGCTCTGTTTGCACAGGCCTTTAAATTGTAGATTGCAGCGCCCTCTATTGGCTATTCTTGTTCTGCTATATATGGCAGGATGCGGCAATTGAGTACACACAGTGTGCAATATGCATAGTTAATTTTGCAGTGATTCTAGGTGATCATCCAGGTACACTAGCAGTACACTACATTTGGTTGCGTTTCCTAGTGTGAACACACTACTTGCACTAAAAGTGACCCTTATTAGTCAGGGAAATTTAACCTCCGCGTTTTAACCAATCCGTGCCGTGAAACACCACATACGCACTAGTGAATGCACACACACTAGGGGGCAGTGAGCACACTTTCCAGGAGCGTTGGGCAGCCCTATCCATGGTGCCCGGGGAGCAGTTGGTGGTTAGGTGTCTTGTTCAAGGGCAATTCAGTCACATACCATTGGCTCAGGGGATCGAACCAGCGACCTTCCGGTCACAGGGCTGGTTCCCTAATCTCCAGCCGATATGTCTTGTACCTCCTTCCCTTTTGTAACATACCTTCTTCTCTCCTGCAGGTGTTTCGCTGCTTGCCCTCCAGTGATGTGCGGACAAGCCTGGAGCTAGAGGGCTACCTGGCCAAGCCAGGCCTGGATAAGGAAGACCCTGCACGGGCTAAGGAGGAGCTAAAGAAGATCCGTGGCTTCCTGGTCCAGTTTCCTCTCTACTTCCTCAGCGAGCAGAACCTTCTGCCTCCCATTGGCTCCAAGGAGGCCATGGTGCCCATGGAGGTGTGGACCTGAGAGGCTGAATAGTTGTTCGTCCGGGACTTGGACTTTCCACGACACAGTGTTTATCAGCCCAGGGCACTGTTGATGAAGGACTGCTCAGAGACTCAAGTGGGTTTTATTCCAGGTGGGAGAAACGGAGACCAAAGGAGAAGAGATGAGTCTCGACTACCAATCAGTTAATCAAGCGACACTGATGATACTAGCCAGACTGATTTGCACCGTCCGATCTGAAAGTGTGATTAATATTCTTTATTGTTTAATATCGTTTCTAACACTATGCAAACTGGAGCAAAAAAACTTACTACACTGCTCATAACTGCCGTATGTGGCTCACTCTGAACAGCGTACACGAGGAGTGTGTGAAATATGATCTCTGACCTCACAGTTTGATTAGATTCAGATTCTTTAAGAACCATAAAATCACTAAATTGTAATACAATTCACTTCAATTTGGTATTGTTTGGTGTGGTTCAGAATTATTTTTTATATTGCACCAAATGCGCAAACTACTACACAGTTGTGGAACATAGACAACAGGGACTTGAAGCCATGACGGCGGCAGGGATGGAAAAAGACTGTGCTGTTCTGGGCCATTAACGAAGTTTTAGCGCTGGTTCTTGCTGCCGATGTCTGCTGTTCTGCTCTGGCAGAAATATCAGTTTGCCGTAGTCACTAAAACATGGTATTTCAGTGAGAATTTAGTATTTAAAGTGAGTCAATTCCACATTTTTCTTGTGTGTTGAGTCACGTTTTATTTACACTAGACAACAACACTATTGCTTCACTGAGTTCAGTGCAGATTTTTCAAAGACAAAATTTAAAGAATTTAAAAATTGTTTGCATAATTAAGTGGTTTAGATGTAAACAAAGCCATTCAAAGTGGTTTGATGTGGAATACTGTATCTTAACCGTAGGGCTGGGCAGTATGACCATCATTTATCGTCATGGTGATAAATTATGTCCCAGTATGTCCCAATATTCTTTTCTGATCATATGCAGGACTTAAAACACACTTCCCACCTGCACGTTTGATTACAAAGAGAGCATCATTAGTCCTGTTTAATTGGATTTAGTGCAGCACAGTGTGTGAAATTTTGAATGCAAGTCATTGGACTAATAGTTTTTGATGGTATATTTTAAATATGGCTCTACACTGTCTGTTCCAACTTACCAGGTGTTAAAAATATATCCGTGACAGATCGCCTATTGTAAGACGTTCCTGAAGTATCTTCATATTAAACTTTTTTTCATATTGCCCAGCTTAAGTAGCTTAAGCTACTTAAGTGAGTCAGAATTGTTCACAGTGGTGGCGATAGGAACCAGAGTTTAAAGTTTCTAGAAAAAAAAAACTGTTTTATGAAATAGTTATGAATACAATGATACACACTGTTTTGCGTTAATTTTGACGGTTTTGGCCTAAAACTTATTTCGTAAAAGCCAGAGGTACTTGCAGGGAGTTACAGGGCTCAATAGTCCCTAAAAGAAAACTTATTTTTTCAGATTTATCACTATTTTATCATCATCAAGTTTACTTATAAAACCTCAGAAGACTCGTGTTGGTTCGCTGGTGGTTTAGGTCAGTAAATAAAATGGCTATATTTATGTTGTAGACATTATGACCCCTGGTTCCTTTCACCACCACTGTACAGAAATCAGAGCCTCTACAATGAAGCATTTCACACCAAACCACTCTGAATGACTCTGTTTACACCTGAAGAACTGAATTATGCAGAAATTTTACATCTGTGAACATCTGTGGAATTCCCGTTTATTATAGTCAATTTTTTTCTATATTTTTAGATTTGGCCTCAGGAGAGCAAAGACGTGGAAACCCTTTGTTCCGCCATCTTGGTAAAGTTGTTCTTTAGTGACGTTGGTTTCCATGGCCACAGTGTTAATGTTGATTAATTATAGCCACGTCTACCACCGCCATTGCTCAGTGTCCCTAATAAAAACAATGCACCAAGCTTTTAACAAAATTTTGACCAAAAGATCCGTGAATTCTTCATCATACATTATTGTGTTCGGTTATAATCGATCCTAACATTCCAAGTTGATTCGACACCTGCAGACGCATTTTTACACCCCTTCTTTTATATTCTTGGCATCTTCAGACATTCCATGAAATGCTGCAGTGTGTAGAGCTGTGCGAGTTTCGTGAAGTGGTTACTTTTGCATGCCTTTCCTTCAGCTGGACAGTGCTGTGGCCTCTAATGCATTCAACACAATGCAGATCTTTTTCTGTATCTAAGTGCCAATTGTAACATCCAGTATATGCAGTACGTTGGTTGTAACACTGCTTTTATATATGGGTCTTTGTATTTTGCCTTTACTCTAAGGACGATTACTGTACCCGGCATACAGTAGGCCACGTTTCTATGGACGGTTTACTCAACACTGTCTAGCAGACAGTGACTTTATTCTTTTACGTTTTTTTCCTGCTCATCATTCACGCCCTGAAAGCCATCAAATGACTTCTCTTCGGATCGTGGTCTGTTGAAGTGCCTCGCGGAAACATTGTTCAGCTCTTACAGCGTATTTCCTCATTACTGATTGTCAGTAGATAAGACAAGTCTACTGACGAGTGATGGCACGAGGATCAACAACTGCTGTGTCCTGACCGTGTAGGCGGTAGACTTTGACTATTAACGAGTCGGTCTATGGAGCAAATACATTATATGTGCACTGAATGAACAACGTCAACGCAGCAGTTTGAATGTTTCCCAGTTTGAAAGTCTATGTGTGCTTTATTGTGTCACTCCTGACCACGACTAGCAAAGCACTCCTAACAGCATGGTAATAAGTGTAAGTGCGCTGGGACTTTTGCCTGATCTTTCCTTTTTTTTTCCTCTCTTGTTTTTTTGCACGAGCTGTCAAATACAGTAACAAGCTTTATTGACAATGTACACATGCACTTTACATGCATTAATGTAATTAAACAATGATTTTCATGTGATTATACGCTCATTTAGCTCATTGTCAAGATTTGTGCATCATTTGTCTTTTGGATTTTGGATGTGTGAAGAAGATTTAATGTGGATAGAAGCATACAAAGCATCATGAATACTGGGACCCAACCTTAAAGAAAAAAATGACTAAAATTACTAAAAACTAATGTTTTCGTTTTACACAGATGACAAAGCCTAGTTGAATAAAGGAAACCTGAATAATTTGACTTTAAACATTTTCTAACTTAAGTGGTCAAAATCTCATTACTGCAACACAGTAAGTTTGGAAGATAAGTGTGTAAATAAATGTAAATGTAAATTTTTTTGACCAATTTGTTTATAATCTGTGTACTGTTGTCAGAATAAGTGTTTTACAGCATTAAGTTTTACATTATTAAGACATATATTTTACAAAATATACTGTTTTTTTAATTTTATCGCATTACGGAAACACCTTCACAGCCGTTTTGTTGTTTTGGTTCACTTCCTTTGAGTTTACAAGGAATATCTAAAATTAATTAAATAATTAATTGAAGTTTAACAGCTAAAAGTAATTTTCTGTGCGATAATGAGAATTAGAGGGAAAATGGCAGAAAAAAAAAGCATACAGGGCTCCCGTTGTTCTGCTAAGCGATATGAATATTGTTTATCATGATGATACGACCATGTGCATGAAATTTGTGGATATGGTTTGTTGTCGTTTCATGAAAATGTCACATATAGTACCTCAAAAAGTTGACACTCCCCTAGTTTAGGGAAACTTATTGACTCTAATTTCTTCACAGTGGTTGTGATAGGAACCAGCAGACATACGTCTATGCAAATTTTATTTACTATGCATATATGATGCTGATAATAGTTAAATGGTGGCAAATCTGAAAACATAATATTTGGAGACTATTTTGCCTAATACACCCTGCATGGACCCCTCCGCAATGAATGCCTTTTAAAAATATGTTTTGGATCAGGGGTGTGAAACTCAACCACTAAAGGAGGCCATTAAAAAGTCTAAAAAAAATCCATGGGCCAGAAAAAAAAAGGTTTGATTTCATTTTTTCATTAATGTTGTGCTATAACCCAAACTGGCCATTGTTCAAAATATGCAAAAATGTAAGCGGTAAAATACAGGCACTTATAATAGACCTTGAAATATTGCATGTATACTTGTACATATATACGCTCAGTCTTTTAAACCTACCTGTATGCTTGAACTAGACTCCTGGCATCCTTTCTTTGCTACAAGTTCATTAAGACTTGGGCTCAGTTTCAAAGCTGACGTTAGGTGTTTATGTTGGTTGAACTGCAGCTGAAATGCAGCTGGTGTGTTTGGTGATACGACTGGTGTGGAATTGTGGAATTGAGGTGTAACCGCTGTCCCATAGACTGCTGTTGGGGTAGGACAGACAGAGCAGTGCATGCTGGGGACTGTAGTGCAGCGCATTGTGAAACGAGCTAATATTAATACAAAATGAAAACACCGGATAGGATTGTGTCACGGGCCTTGTGTTTGACGAAAGCTTGTGTCAAAACTATCATAAAACAACGACTAAGGCATCGGGCAGTGTGTCCAGAACTGTTTGGTATAGTAACTTTCTGTGAGGGGGCTTTTGGAGGTGGACGTCTGGTTCCTATCACCACCACTGCAAACAATCATGACGGAGCGTCCCAGTAGGATTGTAATAGTATGTTCGCAACTGAATAGAGCATTTCACACCAAACCACCCTGAATTACTTTGTTTACATCTTAATGATTTAGTTATGAAGAAATCTTGAAAAATGGTTGGAATTCCCCTTTAACGTCTTTATGTATATTCGAGACTCATTTTAGTCTGAGAATTGCTGTGGTGTTTTTTTATTAAGTAAACTGCCTCAGTCATTCTAAAGCGAAGGGCTTTCTTTTAGCCACTGTGGATTAAATCAGTAGATGAGCTAGAGCAATAGCTGCATAAGCTGTATAATGTTAGACCACTACAGACCCCTAAAGTGACATGGTGAATATTTTTAATGAGGCATGGCCACAATTAAATATATATTGAGGCCATCTGGCCACAAGAAACTTAACTCGTGGCTTCAGTATATTAATTTGTGGCCTTAATATAGTAACTCGTGGCCTCAATTTATTAATTCATGGCCACGCCTTAAGAAATAATCACTACGTCTCCTGAGGGCAGGGGTCAGCAACATGCAGCTATTTTATTGCCCTGTTGCAGCTGTACAACAGAGTTAGCTAGATTTGTAGGTAATAAAATAATCCTCCTCTGCAGTGAAATAAAGCTCTGCTGATCGTTCAACACAGTTTAACAATAAAGGGTCTTAAACACTGGAGTTAATGTAGAACTGCTAATTCACCCTTTAACCCTGAAGGTCAGCGCAGACTGCTGGTCACCATAGCAACACAGACAGCAATCATGTCTAGCTAGTAGCGACAAAAAGGCAAAGAGAGAGATTTAAGACAAACATTGATAATTTGGAGATGAATGGACTTATTTGCATTTATAATCTCTCCAGCTGGTTTCCTGATACGTTTAATCTGCAACGAGAAACTTAAACACTAAAAAGTAGTGAAGCTGAAGTCTCTTCTTGTTGTAATTCTCCCATTCCACCTTAAATGATGCAGCCTGTTACATTCTGGCGGCTCAGGCACCATTTAAGGTGGAACGGGAAAATCAGAACAAGAAGCTGGCGAATGAGAAGCGACTTCAGCCTCGTAAAAAGTCGAACATTAAGAGACATTTTACAAGAAACTGTTCTACTTTTTAGTAACTCTTTCCTGCTGAAGTTATGAGAACAGCGGCTACAGCTGAGCTAAAGCTTAAAGCAGAGCAAAGTAAGTCTGTGTTTTCGTTTATATTATATTTTTAGCCTATGCTAGGACATTAGCATATCGCTGCCGTCAGAACAAAACCTCGTATCTCAAAAATGGTAATTTTACAGGAGAAGGAAAAAACATACTTTACTTTCAATGTAAGGCAATGGAACCAGACTTTTATCCATTTCTTTTGGTCCATTCGACTCTATTGTGAAACTTACACACAATATAAAGGCCAACAGGTATTTTCAAATTACATCAAAAACTGGAAAATGACAAAAATGGAGATACGAGGTTTTGTTCCGACAGCAGCGATAAGCTGAGACATATTTACAGCCAAGATGGTAAAATGGACATAAAATGTTGTGGCTCCCGAGATGGTTTGATTTTTGTTGAAAGGACAAAATGGCTCTTCTTTTGGGTTGCCGACCCCCTGCCATAGGGGCTCCGTAGTCGTCTTCTACACAAGGTCAGTTATTTTCTGCTCATTAAATGGTGTGGAATCATGTTAAGGTCATCGTGAGAACAGAAAAATCCACAGAAACCCCTGTGGATGTTTTCAGATCTGAGGCAGCTTGATTTTCTCCTCTCTCTCAGAGATGAAAGCTTTAAGTGCTGTTTATCTGATGGGGACAGTTTTGGTGTCTACCAGGTCTTCCAGGTGGTTGCTAGGAGCCTCATTTTCTCTGTAGATTTTAATTTTTTAAAAGTCAGTTCTGGAAACTTGTTTCTGAATTTTGATTTCAGCAATATAATCACCAATATGGTATTTTTTCCCCATCGTGCAGCCCTGGTGAGCGTGGAAGTGTGAAATCATTCCCACTCTGCGTGTTCTGATGAGGTGGGGGTGTA